CGCGAACTAGCACGATGCCGTGGCCCTGTTCCAGAGCATCCCGAAGTTTGGATCCCGGGATTGGAGTGATGAGTTCCAGCTTGCGGGATGAAACGTCGATGGAGCGGACGAGGGCCAGACCCAGGCAGTTTGAGGCCTTGGGGTCGAGAGGGTTGCAGCTCCCGGAGCCGACGAAGAGATAGGGTAGATCTTCGTTCGGGGTACGTGTTATCATTGATTCAAAAGAGGAGGACGATGTAGGAGCGGCGTCGCCGTGGGAAGCATCCGTAACGTCGTTCATGTCGACATCTGAAGCGGTATCTGACAGATCTTCTGTGCCTTGCGTCGCGTCCCGTTGAGTGCTACGCGAAAATCCGGCTATATCAGCTTGGCCCATGATTGCATTGGGAGACTCAACGGCAACAACGCCGACGAGCGCTCCTTCCAGGGCCTCATGGAGAAGGTCAGGGCTAATCTGAGAGCCCATCACCATTATTCCACGAATGCCTTGCCGTGGCCCGGCGTAGTCGACAACGAGCGGTCGAGTTCGGGACATGGTTGTATCCAGCCATTGTGGATTATGTGTCTCGCTTGGGTGCGACATATGGAAGTAGGATTGTACTTGCATCGAGCGTAATTGAGCGCTTGACCTGCTGACAAAATCGGTCGGCTGAGACGGCAGCGTGGTCAGAGGAACTCTAGCTTCCTGGGCAGCCTGGCCGAGGGGCTCCACGACCTCGGCCGGGCCTTTCTCGCTCATGTACACGACATCCGACAAACCCAAGGACTTCACTAGCCATGTCGCGACCTCGAGACCGAGCCCGAAGATCCATCCGGGGTAATTGATAATGAGTGGACATTGAGGGTAGCTTGCCAACAGGGCTCGATAGCGGTCCATAAGATCCATCGCTGCCAAAACGTAATGGTCAGGGTCTTCCTTTGGAGATGTCGCTCCTATGTGGTGGGCCCGGATGATCGAACCATCCTGGGATTCAGCCAACGATGGATGGGTGAACGGCGGGCCAAAGAACGGAGAGCGAAGGTGTGCCAGGTAAACCTGTCCCATCGGAGAGAATTCCGGCTGCCCAGGATCAAGGTCCAGGAAAGCGACTCCATCAGTATTCCGGTAGTTATTTTCGGTTTGCGGCGCTGGACTGAGAAGATGATTCAAGAGGTAGCGGCTAAAGGTTGATTTCCCTGATGCTTTGGGACCACAGATCAGGACTTTCAATCGTCCCCCTCGCTGCGAGAGCGATCTAATCGCGGAGCTCCATTGCTTTTCAAGATGTAGTGGCCTCAGATGACGATTCCAGGAGTCGTCGGATGAAGTATATAACTATCAGCAGTTAGGTGGCAGATAGACCCATGAACTAGAAAGGAGAACACGTACCACTGAGAAAGTTCTCTTGGTGGACGCAGAAGCTTTCTTCAATGTCAGTTTGTCCGCTGGTGTGTTCTTCCCATTCCATATCCGCTGATACAATGGCGAAAAGTGCCTAAGTCGATAGATGCCACTGTTACATGATTTGATTTCAATCTCAGCTTCGCCATCAACCCCAGCTACACACTTGATGACGGGTAACGACTGCGTAGACGGCGCGTAAACCCTGTAGAGCCGTGGCGAAGGATGAAGCTTTGCGCCCATCAGGCTAATCACTCCTCGCTTGACCCAAAGGTCGTAATGTCCCAACAACACGAGGGTCTAGTTTGCCATTAGTACAGCACATATACATGTCTCATGCTGTTTCATACCATCTTCTCTTTGATACGAACACAGAGTGTATGCTCATCACTAGAGACGATATTGCTCTTGTTCAACCGTGTCTTTGAGAGTGGAAAATCCTGGATCTGCGGGAGGTCATCGACCGGGGATTCATAACTGTAGAGAGTTAGCGCATGTGTTCTTCTGAAACGACATTCCTACACTCACCCTTCAGCATCATCCTCTACAGCAATGGCTCCCACACCATTTTCTTGCTCCAGTATATCCTCATCCGCTTCCTCGGCGGCGTCGGAGGTGTCAGCACCTCCCTTCTCCGGAGCTTGGGTCCGCTCCGAAATATGTGCTCGTGTGGCACCAGCAGACCTGTGAGGCTGCTTTTCAGCCAGCTCAACAGAGCTCAAGCTCTCTGCCTTCCTCCTCGTAGAGCGCCTCGTCTGTACCCGATCGTTTCCGTTAGCGGCCTGCCTCGCGGCGCCCTCCTCAGGTGACCGCCGCGCTCTTTTGGATGGCGGCTCGACGACAGGTTCATTCTGCACGGTCTTCTCTGGCTCTACAGGCTGCGCTTGCTGTTGCCGAGCTTTGCGCGCCGCAAAAGCGCTGACCGGAGCTAAGATAGAGTTTCAGTTAGCTATCGGCTTCAGATTGAGCAGGAGCACGGAGGGAGATTGAGTCTGTACCAGTCGCCTGCTGCTTCTCGGCTTTTCTTTTCATGAGATACAATTTTGGGCGCAATTGGCTCAAGATTATGAAAACAAAAGTATGTATTCAATGGAAAGGCGGCACCACAAAAATCTCATATCATCGCGGATTGCGGACTTTAGATGGTGGTCTGTGCTCCGCGGAGGAGAAAAAAAAAGTTGTCGCTCACCAGATTCCGCGGCCGAATAACCTCACGACTTGCGGAGTCAGCTCTTCACCAAAACTTTATTAATCATACACATATGACTCTGTTCGGAAAGAAATTATATTGATTTATTGGCATTTTGCAAATATACCTTGAGCGCAGCCAGCAGGCCGAGGCTGCAAGTCCCGACCACTCCGCATCGAAATCTCAAACGCTTCCTTTGACAGACAGCTCTGTCGAAGCGCAATGGCGCCAGCCAAGTCGATTAAGAAGACTGCCTCGGACAGCGAAAGCAGTTCGAGCAGCAGATCGACATCGCCCGAACCAACAAAGAAGTCGGAATCCGATCGCGACACTGAAGACTCCTCAAGCTCAGGTTCTGAGTCGGAAGATTCGGCCAGCTCCGATTCTGAGAGTGTCCCTTCGTCCCCGAAGATCAAGGCTTCAAATACGTAGGTCCTATCGCTTACGTCGTTCTCGGAGACTGTCAAGCTGACGAGCACTAGCTCATCTACAAACGATTCCCTCTACCCAAGACCTCCCTACAAGCCACCATCAGGCTTCAAAGCTGCGAAGAAGCAATTACCTCCATCTTCTACCACATCCTCCCTCCTTTCCGACCTTCGCGGTAAACAAATCTTCCACATCACTGCGCCTGCCTTCCTTCCTCTCTCGAAAGTCAAAGAGGTTTCGCTGGCCAAGATCTTACAGGGGGAGCCGGTACTCAAGCACGAGGGCGTGCAATATGGTATCCCACCCGAGAACATTGGCCAGGGCGACTTGGGTGGGAAGAGTCTCCTCCTATACGATTCGAAGACGCAGACATACTACAGCGCACCTGCCACTACCATGCCTACATATCACGTACAAGAAACGATCAACATCCCTAAAAGCTTAGGGACCGACGATGCAGTATTGGCAGCAGCACAGGATCAGATCAAACCACCAAGGAAGCAACCGAAACATCTGAAGATGCGGTTTCGCCCAGTCGGTAGTGGAGATGGTCCGCCAGAGACGATCGGTTCCAGTTCGGAAGAGTCCGAGGGAGAGGGAAAGCCAGCTTTCAAGTTTCCCAAAGAGTCAAAGACCGAGCGCGAGGAAAGAAAACGGAAGCATGCCGAAGAAGTGGAAGGATCCCAATCGGCTGGCTTGCCCAGGAAGAAGTCCAAGAAACAATCTGTCGATGCATCACAATCAAGCAAAAAGCGAGATGAGAAGAAACGGAAGAAGGAGAAGGCGTGATAAAAGTCGAAATGAGAACTGTATTTTCATGTTTTTCATAAGCGAAAAAAGTTGTCCACTTGACGAGATTGCGCATCATGGCCAATGGTGCCTGCACTCTGATCTTTCGATTTCTAAGAAGAAGCATCTTTGGGCCAAGGATCGAGTCCTGGATGCTCAAGTCGGGAATCTAGCACTACCATATTTATCTAAAACAAGCTATACAGCCTTGAAGATATCCACATTATAGTGCTGCTCTCGACCAGACTCCGTTGCTCCAGGTTCCCAAGCCAAAATTGGACTACACTGCACAGCCACTGATACCAGCAATCAGCCTCGTGCTTGCACTAGGCCCAAAGGTACTTGATGAGCGCAAATACTTAGTACAGAAAGATCAATCAGATATCATATGATCTTAGATCTCAGACGCGACTTAGGCACATGGAGTTTTGTTTGATCATCCCACATCCCACGATCTTCATATCACGTCCAGCTCAGACTCAGAGAGGCGACGGTAATGTAAATTACAGGCAGATCAAAAGGGCGATGACATAAGCCAGCTGAGGAATGGCCCGCTGCTTCTGATTTGATGAATACCGTGCCTCAATCACATGCAATCCCCATGATTGGTGGGCCCGGAGACTGATGAACAGCTGATACAGACAAGTGACGCCAGAGGTCAAGCTAGGGCGTTGGGCTTGTCCTCTCTGTAAGTACTTGCTTAGAATCACTGCACGTTGTTCATTTACTGCAACTCTTTCGCTTCGTGGATCTTCATCTGGAAGATCATGCCTTAGTCTTTCTTTTCAGCATGACTCAGAGCCCTTCACTTCTGTCGCCCTAATGACACCCTCCTCAAGCGTTTCGGTGCACTGATAACAATCTTGTCGGAGGCCCTTATCAGTTTGGAGTACTATAGAGACGGTGAGGGTTCAGTTATCTCGTTACTTTCATTCCCTTTTTCTTCATCACTAATAGGGCATGCTGCTTGTTGTGTACCAGTGAACTGATTGACAGGATTATCTGTCTATTGTAACACTAGGTGTGCTCAAAGCCCTGGTTGTGACATCTGACTTGTTGCCTCCAACCAAATCCGTGGACAACGCACTCCTTCAACCGCAGTCATCATAACCTCGTCGCTCCGTACCTTAAGGCTGCGGCCGCGATCTACCGCTGCATTTCTTTACCTTTTTTGGACTCAGGGAATCACTTAGGCACTGATCTACGTCGAGAATGCGCCCATTTCTGGACGATGCAAAGCGTCGGGTGGATCGCAAGCTCAGCGCAAGCAGACAGTCCTTGTCGACAAGCCGTCTTCTTCCCAGTGCTTTGCCGGATAGACTGAAAGACAATCACGATGCCCAGGTCGACTTTACTGCACCTCCCGGAGGATCTGGCTCTCGCGAGGGCCATCTTCAATACATGCAACAATCCATATTTGGGATGATCGCCGCTGTTGGCTCCAGGTCTGATTTTCATGCGCGGTTTGACGAGTCAAGCGACAGTGATGGAGAAACAGAGCAGCGGCCAAGGAAGGAATCTTCTGCCAGGCAAGGAACATCCGCGTCGGCAAATACATCCTCCCTCGATTCAAGCCAAAGATCCAGTTCGCGGACAGATGGGAAACCAGAGAAGGAGTCGGGTACAAGAGGCCGTCGTCATCGAAGGACAATATCGGACCATAAATTATTTCGGCCATTCAAGTTGAACTCCAAGGATGAGCCACAGACCGATCCTTCAACGGGCGATGAAATGCCCAGCGGTTCACCTCCTACACGGCCGCGCAGTGCCACTCCTCGAGCAGCTCCTATCCTGAGCCGTATGGTCGAAGCTCAAGCCCAATTTGATTTGAAAGAGTCTTCTACCGAACGGTCCCAATTATCGCTCAATGAAAGTGGCGAGAAGGGCCCTCGCGACGCATCCGTGTCCCCCCTTTCTACAAGGCTGATGGATATGTTCGGCTTTGACAAACCAGAAAAAGTTCTCGTTGAGTATGCCTGCTCACTTCTCCAGAGCATGCTTTTACAGGGGTACATGTACGTCACCGAGGGACACATCTGCTTTTACGCCTATCTCCCCAAGAAATCTACAGTGGCTATCAAGTCTGGGTATCTTCACAAACGTGGTCGAAAGAACCCCAAGTACAGCCGCTACTGGTTTTCCTTGAAGGGTGATGTTCTCTCCTACTATGCCGACCCGTCAAATCTCTACTTTCCGAGTGGTCATGTCGATCTTCGATACGGGATTTCTGCCTCGTTGGGCGAACCGAAAGAGAAAGGGAGGGAGCCTAGAGATTTTCAAGTCACTACAGACCAGAGAACGTACTATTTCAGAGCTGATAGCTCCATGAGTGCGAAGGAATGGGTAAAAGCCCTGCAAAAAGTGATTTTTCGGACACACAACGAGGGGGAGAGCGTCAAGATATCTTTCCCGATCGAAAGCGTTATAGACATAGAGGAAAGTCCTATGGTAGATTTTGCTGAGACGTTCAAAATACGCGTGATTGAGGATGATGATTCGTACGCGATTGATGAGGTATGTCTTGATTACGATGCTTCTGCACAAGGCTCATGGTTCGCAGTATTTCTTCACATTCTTCCACTCCGGCCGAGAAGCATTCGAGTTCCTTAGAAGCCTCATCAATAACCAATTCTTGAAAAGTTCTTCTCAACACCTTTCGCCGCAACCGGACCGGTCGCCTCGGTCTGAGCGTACCCGCATATCTCGAAACAGGTGGTCGTTGGCCAGCGGGTCGAGCAGAATTCTAGGTAATAGCAGAGCTGAGACGCAGCGGAAAAGGGGTGCAAGCACGAGTCATATGAGCCTCGCGCATGATGTTATAAAATCATCGCCGGCAACTCGACACCAGGACTCGTCAGACTCAATATTGAATTCTTTCGAGCAAGGGACTGAGTCTTCAGCCGCCTGGCAATCGATGACGGATGGGGCAGAATCAGCGAGCCAGATCTTGAATCGCAGTGATGTCTTTCAATCTCCTACTATTCATGGTCTGGACAGAAGACCTTCTGGCGGAGAAAGAAGAGGGCGACGCGATTCTGACGAAACGGCTCGATCACTATCCACGCGTGCCAATGTTAGTACCGGTCAACAGATCGATGAGCATGGCAGACGAACGGATGGAGATACGAGTGGACGTGAGGCTCGGGATCCCACCGGTGAATCAGACCAATACACGCAAGATCCAACTAAATCCTTCTCGGGTGCACCTTCTTTGAACGAGCTTGTCAAAGCCGGGGTATATCCTCTCCAGCGTGCAGCAGGCCTTGCCGAGTACTTGAGGACCCGGTCAAAGCAAATGAGTAATCTCCTGGCCAGTGAATCTATGGGCTATATAGAGAAAGTCTCGGGAATGTGGACTGGTGGTCGAAAACATTATGGCGAGGCAGAAGATGTCTTGCCAGATGATCAAGACGTCGATCCAGAAGACAAGGAGGATGGCTGCAACTATGGCGACCGTTTCCGTGCGCACTTTGCACTACCGCCGACGGAGAAGCTGCAAGCTACATACTTTGCATACTTGCACCGGGTGCTTCCACTCTATGGCAAGATATACGTCAGTCAGAAGAAGCTATGTTTCCGCAGTCTTATCCCTGGGACTCGTACAAAGATGATTCTTCCTCTGAGAGACATTGAGAACGTTGAAAAGGAGAAAGGCTTCAGATTTGGCTATCACGGTCTTGTTATCATTATCCGCGGACATGAGGAGTTATTCTTCGAATTCCGTACGTCTGATGCTCGGGATGACTGCGCTGTTACGCTCCATCAACGTCTGGAGGCTGTAAAGTTTATGGCAGAGTCAGGCTTGCTAGCTGAGCAAGACCAGAATGAGTCCGAGGCAGCGATGGCAGAACACCGTATGCTTCAAGAGGCCAGATATGATGATTATGGCGAAAATGACTTGCGGCCCTTGAATGAGTCTTCTGAGCTACATCCGATTTTTGACGATCCTCGCGCTTCCATCGTCAACTTCAAACCTGCCGAGTCTCTTCGGATCACCTGTCTGACGATTGGCTCGCGAGGCGATGTGCAGCCATACATAGCCCTATGTAAAGGGCTACTTGCAGAAGGCCATAGGCCAAAGATTGCAACCCATGCAGAATTCGAGCCATGGGTGAGAAAGCATGGCATTGATTTTGCTCCGGTGGAAGGGGACCCAGCGGAACTCATGCGTATTTGCGTTGAGAATGGGATGTTCACGTATTCCTTTCTCAAAGAGGCGTCGCAAAAGTTCCGGGGCTGGATTGACGATCTTTTGTCATCGGCATGGGCCAGCTGCCAGGACAGCGACCTCCTCATTGAGTCACCCAGTGCAATGGCGGGTATACACATCGCCGAGGCGCTGAGAATCCCTTACTTTCGTGCCTTCACAATGCCGTGGTCACGGACAAGGGCTTACCCACACGCCTTTGCTGTGCCTGAGCACAGAATGGGTGGTGCGTACAACTATATAACGTACGTGATGTTTGACAACGTCTTTTGGAAGGCGATCGCCGGGCAGGTGAATAGATGGCGGAAAAACGAGCTCGGCCTGAAGGCGACTACTCTGGACAAGATGCAACCGAACAAAGTCCCATTCCTCTATAACTACTCTCCCTCGGTAGTGCCGCCACCGTTGGACTACCCCGACTGGATTCGGATTACCGGATACTGGTTCCTTAACGAGGGAAGCGACTGGACTCCTCCAACCGCCCTGTCCGAATTTATTCAATGTGCTCGCGAAGATGGAAAAAAGATAGTCTATATCGGGTTCGGATCAATAGTTGTATCTGATCCTTCGGCACTCACCAAGACAGTCATTGAGTCGGTCCAGAAGGCTGATGTTCGCTGTATTCTCTCCAAAGGATGGTCCGATAGGCTCGGCGACCCTGCCAGTGCTAAGCCGGAAGTACCACTGCCGCCAGAGATCCACCAGATCCAGGCTGCGCCGCATGACTGGCTCTTCTCGCACATAGACGCTGCCGTTCATCATGGAGGAGCCGGTACCACTGGGGCGAGCTTGCGTGCTGGCGTGCCTACGATCATCAAGCCTTTCTTCGGTGACCAGTTCTTTTTTGGGTCGAGAGTTGAAGATTTGGGCGTGGGTATTTGCCTGAAAAAGCTTAATGTGAGCGTTTTCTCGAGGGCGCTCTGGGAAGCCACCCATAGCGAGCGAATGATCATCAGAGCCCAGGATCTAGGCGCAAGGATCCGTAGTGTAAGTGAGATTCTTGCGATCAATTGCACGTGATAACTGTTATGCTAACAATCGATCACAGGAGAATGGAGTAGCAACTGCTATCCAGGCTATCTATCGCGACCTTGAATACGCCAAAACGCTTGCCCGCCAGCGCTCCATTGCTTCATCCACGCCTTTTTCGCCAACACCTTCTGCCAAAACGACGGCCGAGCAGGATGCTGATGATGATGTCGAAGACAGTGAGGAGTGGACGTTTGTTGGCGACGACACTGACATGGAGATGTCAAGGAGGCTACGAGATAGGGCGATCTCCGATGCCGATATGCTACCCGATCGATTGCTTGCCAATTCTGTTCCTGGAGATTCTGCACCGGGAAGGAAATTGACTGGCCGCTAAACGCGGCTGACCGGGCGGTGTTGCTGAGTTGCAACATCCACCTCGCCAGGATATCTTACGATTTGATGACATTTTCTTTCTTAATATTGCGATCCACTACGTTGTTTAATGATTCGGTTAGGGAGTTGTGTTTAGAAGGCACTCCAGCTCTCCTTGATTCGGTGTGCATTCTGCATAGAGTATAATGTTTGACCGTTTGATATCATGGTGTTGGAGTTTTGACCTACCATGATCATCTGTGTGGCGCATTCCGCTATCTTGTTGTATCTCCCAGTTCGAGAAGCCATGACTGTTATTTCTGGACGGTGCTTGATATATGATGCTACGGTGTCATTTCCAACGCGATCATTCCTTCAGATTGAGTCTACTTCATCCTGGCGATCGGAAGAAGTGAAGCCTTTACGTCGCTTGGTCAGCGGTTATTGATGATAGAATGAATTGAATCTCGCGCGAATAGAATGGCAAGTCCATTTATATCCTCGATCCCGTGTAGCATGACTGATCAGCCACATGATTCTACCGTCCTGGTAGTGGTCGCCCGATGGCCATGACCGCCAGGCTTTTGATGTATTAATGAACACGGCAGCGCTTCAGCAATCCAGTCCCAAAAGATTGGTCAACGTAGAATACGGAGGAGAAAAGGAAAGGCCTCTCCTCGTCGGATATGAATGCTATGTAAGGCGCTCGTCATGAGATAATAATTGAGGAATTGCATTACTGGCTTTGAACATTTAGCCGCCTGACTTGCGCTTGTCGGTCGCTTCTTCATCGTCATCCCCCTTGCCTTCAGCCTTTTCTTTCCGCCGCTGTACAACGTCCCAATTATAGACACGAGCTGTAGCGACTTCAATGGTCTATTCAAGGGTCAGTCAAAACTCGACAGGAAAGGAACAGTACTCTTGTACGCACAGTAATCTGCTCCCTCAGAAACTCCAGATCCTCATCACAGTTCGCTAGACTCTGCTCTGCGGCAGAGAGCTTCTCCGAGAGCATCGTCTCGGCCTCGGAGATGGGGTACGCGAGCATGACGTTCGCCCCGAGCCAGAGGTATACTTCGTCAGTGTCGGCGGGGGAGATCTCTGCGCGCGCGTAGAGGGTATCGTTTAACTCGAAGCTGGTTTCGAGGGTTGAGGAGGAGTTTGTCTGCCATTACCCATCTTTCTTCAGCATGCAATTACCGCAAAGTGGTGTTGGTCGGTGACTGGACTCGGTGACCTACTTCTTTCTGCATCTTCAAGAACCGCACGACGTCTAAAGTCTTCCTGATGTCGGGGATTTTCTCGCGGAGACCTGCCGCTCGGCGCTGGGTGTTGAGTTCCATGAATTGGTATTTGGAGATCATCTCCTGGAAGCGCTGCAGGGTGGGTTCCACGTCTGCGCGCGATGCGACGTAGTCGCTAACATTGTCAATGAAGGGGGCGGCGGGGATTCCGCGCGGGTTCGTTTGTGTTGTTACGGTGCTGGATTTGGGTGGTTGTCAGTTCTGATGTGCTGGTGTGGTAAACTGGAGGGGGGCATGTGAGGGGTGATGAACATTTTCTTTTCCCTCGCGTTTCCAACTTACCTGGATTTCTTCTCTGCCATTGTGGAGTTGGGTGACGGCATGCAAAGTCCGAGCCCCAGGGTATGATATTAAGTGAGTAGAGGGCGATATGGCGAAGAGGGCCGATCTGAGGATAGCGGGCGATGAAGCCGGTGATATTATTGATTGGAGGTGATGGGTGTGGGGGAGCTCACTTGCCTAATCGGGCAAGGTCCCATCATCGTCATGTTATTATCGCCTGGCCAAGTTTCCATCCCTCCAAGTATCTACAAAAGTATCTAGACAACATCCCATATCAAGTATCGCAATATAACCAACTATTGATGAAATATGGACTGAAACTCCCATCTACCCAACCACCCACCACAAACACGATGGTCCTCCTCGTCACAACCACTCATATCATCTCCGCACTCGAGGCCGTTCCCTCCTCTTCGCGCAAGGAGCTGGACCTCCCCGACTCTCTGAGTATCGACTCCCCAATTTCACACGAGCAAGTGATCCGTCTATCACGCTACTTCCGCAATGCCGGGAACAGCACCAGCTCCGCCCCAACCCCAGACAGAAGCCTCAACTCGCTCCTCCGCGGCACAAAAGTCTACGTCCCCCCTCCGCCTAAGAAACCTGAACCTGTACGTTCTCCCCTCTTCTTCCCCAGCGTGCACCAAGTATTAACCAAAATGATGACTAGAGTCCCGAGTACCTCGCCCTAAAGGCCCGCCTCCTCGCCGCCGCCGAAGCAGACGCCTACAACCGCATGACAGCCACAACATTCGCACTCTCCGCAGCAGGGCACAGCGGGCCCTCGCCGATCTTCTCCTCCTCCACGCCGACTCTCTCCGCCCTTCACGACTCCAAAGCACCCGCCGTTGATACGGAGACCACAGACCCGCTCACCCCTTCGCTGGTACTGAACATTTTTCTCTCGGTGCTCATCACGGGGTTCAGTGTGTACTGGGCGCTGACGAGCTTCCGTACCCCTGATATCTTGGTGAGCTCTGTATCCTCTTTGTGGCGAGGACAGCCACCCAGCAAACCAAGTGCGAATAGGGTGATTGCGGGCGCGTCAGAGCCGGTGCGGGTTCTGGTGTCCCTGTTTGCCGCGCTGATGGTGGGTGTGGCGGAGGTGTTGATCTATGCGATTTATCTTCAAAAGGTTGACCAGGCGCGGGCGCGTGAGAGGCGCATCAAGGAGCGGAAGGAGGTAGTGGAGAGTAATGTGGTTGGTGGTCGAGCCGGCAAGACGGATAAGGAGGGGATCCAGAGGATTGACGGATGTCAGGAGACGATATGGGGAAGGGGTGCGAATGGAGGCGTGCGGCGGAGGGTGAGGGAGAAATGGGAGGAGAAGGAGAGTCAGAGGAGCCACGATAATGCGGGATGACTGTAAGTTACAATTCCATACTGTTGAAAGACAAAGAAATGGATTTATTCGTCCGCATGTTCCAGATCTCTGGACATCGGAGCGGAAATGACTGAGTTATAAATCAATGCATGGTATTCGTCTATCAAAATCTAACCTCAAATCTACAGCGTCGCTTGTGGCATCAGAATCAGCGGATATGCTGCTGCTCAAGTCATTATAATTAATGGTCGTCAGTAACGGGAGGTGCATCATGCATGGTTTCATCATGTCAACAGGTTGGGAGAAATCGCTTTTGTTCAAACTGGCAGACTGTCAACAGTCTCGATCGAGGAAATGGGTATCAGGGGAAATGAAAAAAATCAGACCCGCTTCTCGAGAAGGAGGTGACCCTTTGGGGTCTTTGCGACAAAACCATCGTCTCGGCTGAAGACTTTTTCGCCTCGGACCCAGGTTTCGCGGACCATGCCTCGAAGGATACGACCCTGGTAGGGGGAGCACTTGTTGCGGAAAAGCATGGTGCTGGGCTTAACGACCCATTCGGCAGTGTCGTCAAAGACACAGATATCCGCGTCAAAGCCCGGGACGAGGTCGCCCTTTTGGTTCTGCAGGCCGACCTGCGCCGCAGTGTTGGCACAGCACAATCGCACAATATCCTGAAGGGCACGCTTGGTGTTGGCGTCATCGGGGGCGGAAGTCAGGTTCTTGCGACGGCTGAGCTCGGTCCACATGATAGGAAGTCCCAGACCGACTGATGAGATTCCACCCCAGGCGGAGAAGAAGCTGCCGGAGTTTTCGACCTCGCCACTGGCGACATGATGGCCTGGAATATGGGATGGCAAGAGTTTCAGGTCCGGCGTGCAGGGAGAGTGGTCCGACACTACAGTCTTGATGACTCCGTCCTCGGCATGACGTTCAAGTTCGGCCCAGAGGCCGTCTTGGTTCAATTTGGAGCGGATGGGAGGGCAGCACTTATGTCGTGTGTCACCATCGCGAATCTCCTCAGCGGCTAGTGACAGATAGTGGAAGCACGTTTCAGCTGTGATTTTGACACCATCGGCGCGGGCTTTGCGCAGGAGAGGAATCACCTCCATGGCTGATAGGTGGACAATGTGCAGTGGGAGATTGGGGGCCAAGTGAGCCAGTGACAGGATCTCCTGCACGGCGCAAGTCTCGAAGACTGAGGGACGGGAGGCAAGGAAAGTGGAGTAAGCTTCCACAGGACCTGCTGGGGCCGCAGGGGGGTCAGAGGTACTGACAGCGTCTCCAACAGAGGCCGCGATGGGGGGTAACATCTCTGCGTGGAACATGAGGGTTGTGGGTTCATCGGCCAACTCCTTCATAGCCAACTTGATGTCCTCGGATGAAACAGCGGGGAACTCTTCCACCTGTCAAAGGATAAAGCGGTCAGTGTGCACCGAAGAACGCACGAGGGGGTAGATACATACACCACTATCGATAAGGAAACCCTTGAAACCGCGCACACCCTGCTGGACCAGAGCCTTGAGCTCGCCAGCATTGCCGGGGACGATACCGCCATAGAAACCAACATCCACCCAGCACTTGCCCTCGGCGGCCTGAATCTTTTCCTTTAGGCCGGCAACGGTTGTTGTTGGAGGAATGGCATTCAATGGCATATCAATCACTGTGGTGACGCCACCAAAGGCGGCGGCCTGTGTTCCAGTGTAGAAACCCTCCCACTCGGACCGGCCAGGCTCATTGAGGTGGACATGTGCATCGACCAAACCAGGCAAGAGGACATGAGGGGAATAGTCCGTATATGGAGTCCCCGCGGGGAAGTCAGACGCAGGAATGACCGAGTCAAAGACTGCAGTGATCTTGCCAGTGGTACGAGAGATAACAATGGTGGCTGATGTCAAACGGCCGGAGATAACGGCGCGCGAGGATGCCACCACGGAGATTGAAGGCATTTGAGGAGGAGCCTCCATGGTGAAGGGGGTATGAAGAAAGAGGATATAGGGAGAAAGAATGACGAAATGACTGAGAACGAGAGGAGAGGTACGGAGCAGTGAAAGAGAGAGAAACTCTGCCGTTTCCTCGAGGGAAGATTGGTGGGGGAGAGGAGAGAAATTGCTTGTTGATTGAGTGCTGATAAGGGGAGGATAAGAAGATAAGGAAAGTTTTGATAGTTGTTGATAAGGATAAGAAAATTGTTCTGGACCCGCCACTCGGCAGAAAATCGGGGGACGTCGAGACGGGTAAACAGAGAAGGAACACAAGGCCTATCCCAGAGATTTCCTATTATTATCATGGCTGACCCTGAAAGGACTCACCACTTATATACCAGAAGACCCCGGGGATACGGTCGAGTAACCCAGAACGCCGTCCACGGGGTGCGTGGGCCATCCGCACAGCCAGAATGGCGATCGAGATCACGATCCTTCGAAATACCCACTGATTCAGTTCGGATTACTCGATGGGAATTACGGAGTAGACTATGCCTCAAAGATTGGCTTCGGTTATTGCCCTTGAACATGCAGGCTCCCTGCCTATTGCTCAGGCTCCTGTTTCAGCAAATCTGACAGTCAAAATATAGTCCATCTCTTAAGTACAAACCACCCTTCCATACTACCCAGAAGCCTGTCATACACACTGTAAGGTATGGAGGACAGTCTGCATCGTCTGGATACCCTCATGCTTACCAGATCCGGTTATCGGAAGGCAAGTCCACAGGCAAAGTGGCAAGCGATCCGTAAAATACCGGCTGCGTAAAATTTTCATACTTCGTAACAATAGCCGCACTTCCGAGCCAATCACAAGTCTTTCCACCAAAAGGTGCCTGACGGGCGAGGCAATCTATCGGGCGTCTCCGCTGGTTCAATCGGGCATCTCCCTGCGGATTTCTCATCCCTCTTACTCGATCGAAACTCCTGGGCCGTCTCCTTTTACTCGATCAAAATGAGTTGACGAATGGAGTCATGATGAATGTGATAGCCATTGCTCTCTATAATTGGGCGCTTAGGAAGACTGTCAACACTCTGGAAAATTCTGTGCTCTCCCCCTCTTTCGGCGTCCTCCGTAAATTTTTGGCTGAAGGCCTGGCCGTCCTTCGTCCTTAAGTCGCTTAGATTGAGAGAGTGAGTGTGTCAACGTAGGTCCATCATGCATAGTGCAACAGGTCCGCGTACTATCGGGATCGTAGTACATTGTCATGCTTACTCGATCATTTCTCCGATTGCATCTGGCCTCGTCAAGGTGATATCAGCACGTTCGTTCAACAATTGTGTCAGTCTGATTCAACATGAGGCAACTGTGACTGCTTCGGATCAACACGCCGCTCTAGCTTTCTGCCGTGTTCCTTCCTCGTAGCACGCGATCCCAAATTGTCGTCTGACTCGACGGGGAAATCGTGACCGCGTATAAGCGGATTCATTGGTGCTTCCACACTATAACCTTCGGATGGCTAGTGTAAAGATAGTTGACGGGGTGTTAAACGGATGAATCGCAGCCACCTCGAAACGTCTCTTGAGCCCCCGTATCTTCTTTTGTCTGGTACTTTTGCGGCTGCAGACAACCCTTGCCGTCAGCACAAGATCCAGAGGCTCGTGCTTCGGTGCTGGCCGCCAGAAGGCAGCAGCTGACCTGTTAATAGACAGTGTAACGTTAGCATACCTCATCTTCAGGAAGGTTCGCCTTAAGACGAAATAGCAAGTTTAAGAGAGTTAAGACAGACATGTCAATATTAGCAGGCGTCAATCCACGTCGTTTTGATCGAAGTTGATCTCGAGAGACCAGCCTTTGATGATGACGACGATGTGAATCAGAGCGTACAGCTTCAGATCTCGCTTCTACATCCTTGTTCAGGACAAGGCCCTCCCAGCATGGACAGTTGGCCTTGAGCTCATAGTTGCATGTGCAGTGCTCGTGCCGCAGTGTCTAGTATCTGGAATTGTTTGGGATTGGAAACCGGTCCCGGACACTCCCGCCAACCTCAGAGAGATAACGTAGAGAACTGGTTGTATTGACGCCGGCAGAGATGATTCGTCGTCGTACGATTCAGTTTCCAAAAAATATGACCAGTAGTCTGAAGAAAACAGAGCCAAATGGATGTATCTTGTTGTACATGGATATATATATCTCTCCATCCTGGAAGATGTCTGCGAAAGTTCGATGATAGTTTTTGATAAATGTCATTCATCGATCAACGATTCGCTCATATTGGCATTTACCTCTTCAGAAGAGAACTATTCTCGGTAGCAGTTAACAAAGGTCACCTTATAAATAACTCACAGGTTGCATCACCTGTCACTTCCATGTTTCTTGCGGATTTGCGGAGTGCTTACTGGGCTATCTTTCCAGAATCAACCCACTCACTCACATCAAATGAGGAATGGCCTAATCACTTATCATCCATTAAGAAGCCAAAAACCTGTCTCACTAAATCAATACCAAAAAATGAACCCTCCGGAATTGATTTGGACAAGCGATCCACCGGACCGACCCGCCGGCAAGTGGGCCAAACAGGGGGCTAGAAACAAGAAGTATGACAGGATTAGAATCATTGACCGAGTCCTGAATTTGCAGAGAAGGCAGACAAATACCTAGGGTTTATCTGATCTGTTGAGGAAGACTGGGAGAAGCCGCATCTGGTTTCTTCACTGAAGAACACAGATTCAGCGTAGCGCTCTTCCTGCTTGAGAGTGCCGTAGTCCTGCATACATACGCCATTATAAACCACCAGATGTCGAGACTATCATTATAGTGGTAAGAAAATAAATCAACACTGGGCTGTTCAAATTAGGTGCTTACCTTCTCATGAGGTTACCACGCTATGATGCATATTGCAGTTTTGGACTGCTGGCATGCTCATTGCGTGCTTCCCGCAGAAATTACGAGATTCCATGGTTAGAAATGGATTTTCCCACTGGCAATGGCAGCTGTTTGAAGTTCAAAACCGGAAGTTTGTCAACGGAGATGTGCTGAAAGTGTATGCTGAGAATGAATATTGAGGTGAGCCTGATGGCTAAGACCTATTTCAGCTGGATAGATGGTTGACAACAATACTTGAATTAGAGAGTATGAGATCAAGAGGTAAGAGGGAATCGTCTCAGACAAGCCTCCTACTTCATATAAGGAATACGCACAAAATGCCAGGATAAAGAGTTCTCTCATTTTGGATCATTGAGAGCACCAGGTACGGAATGCTCGTTGACAATGCATACAAATTGAGACCATCTGACCGGACCCTTCTGGTGCCTCAACAAATCAACTGCACCGACCATTGAATATTCTGGGCAGAAGCGGTGCTCTTCGCCGACCTTAGGGTATAGCCCATTGAAAGTCAAAGTCATACGGACTGTAAAGACATCAACCAGTCAGCTAATCTCCATCCCCAGCAACGGTCTCCGAAGTGGCGCCATCCAATTCCTTGAACTCGAGATGTGCCTCGCCGTCAGACGGGTTCGCATACATCTTTGCCAGCCACTCAAGAATATCTCCCCAGGCCTTTGGCATGATGCATTCCGTATGCAGCGCCTCACCAGACGAGTAGCAATTGCAGCCATGTTCTTGAAAGCCTGATACGGGGAAGCCAACAGGTTTGTCGGAGAGCACGTAAGCACGGCAGCGAGAGGAAATGAAAGAGATGAACGATGATGGCACGGCCGGGCTCTCCTCGACGAGGTCGATATGGGTGTAATTGAGAGGGTTGGACAATGCGATGGCGGATATGTATGGTCTCCATGAGTCCCCTTGTAATGAGTTGGTGTCAGCAGGTTTCTACAACAGCCATGGCATAGAGAAGGAAGGGTAAGGCAAAGCATACACTCAGCTGCGAGATACCGAATCGCCCCTAGGCCTCCCTCGGACAAGCCAATGATGTCTATCTTCGCGTCCTCCCTGACGAGGCGACCGCGGGCCGAGAGTATCTCGTCAAAAACGCAGGCAACATGTTCCTGCCAGTCCTGGTTCGAAGGGATCTTGTTTCGACGGGTCATCGTCAATGGCGGATCGACGGCCGAGGACCGCGAAAGGGCGAGCCACGTTTGATGGGTGACTGCTCGACTGGAACCACAGTGCCAAATGAGCTGACCTGTATTCGCCAGAAGTAAAGCAGTGTCTGCATCTTTGAAGCCTGCTGCGGATCTCTGTGCCAAGATTGCTCTCGCAAAAGCCACAGCTGAACCTGCGTCGACGCCTTCTGTGCCTACAGTACGATATGCCCAGATACCAAGGTCCTGAATGGGCTCCCCAAACACAACGATGACGCGGGATGCGCGAGCCAGGTTTGCAGAGACCCAAACTGGAACATGAGGATCTCTAGGACCAGATGGGAGAGGAAGTCTGATGGTAGTGAGTCCCAGACTGCGCAGGCGTGAAGACACAACAGTGCGAATGCATTCTAGTCATGTCAGTGGATCAGCTGTCCGAACTCGGGCTGAAGAAGAGTTCCAAGAGTCTGACCGTTCATTGCTCCTCGTTGTAAATCGTTCCATCGGTCATTTCTATTGATCTTGAACTGGAATTCCTGTTCGGGATTGGCAATCTTTCGGATCTGGTCCTTTTCATTGATGAAGTATCTGCAACTTGCGTTAGACTTGGCAAGATTTAAACCCATTTCGCCGTCCCTTACCCAAGTTTCTCCAAGTCAGCAGGGAAGACAGGATCCTGAGGCAGATCCTGCGGACGGTAGACAAACATCCTCACGGATCTGGTTGCTTCCTTTCTCAGAAGTTGAGCGAGCACTGCGGGATTGCAGCTTGATGTAGGAAGAAAACAAGACCCTTGCTAAGAAGTTCTATAAATGTACCCCAGTAAAGGGAGTGAAGAGGGAGGCTTTGAGAGTTTCCAGCTAAGAGAATGTAAAAACAAAACGAAAGCTATAGTGAGAGGTGGGGTAGTTGAATTTGAAGAAAGTCGTATGCGATGAGAGCTGCAACTATCCGATGAGACGTAATATTGAAAAACAGGCGTTTGCTTCAGGGTGAATATGAACTGACTTTGCTTTCCCTCAGCCACTCTGAATGTGTTTGACCGGAGCACAAGGCATTGATTGCTGTATTGCTTCCTTTCGAGGGAATTACCCTCAACACCAACACCTGAGTGAGAGAAATATCATACAGGTGTATCTTCACCCATCTATCACCATGGCCCTAACGATTCAAATGTCCACTGACTGAAATTTCTCAATCGAGCATCGCATTTATTGTACATTTCTCAGAGAAGGAAAGGAGGATAAAACGCCTGCGTGCAAACCGGCCGTCCCAAAATCGCCAACATAATACAACCAGCAAAATAGAAGAACTCTACCAGCTCGCCTTCTTCACACCGGGGAGTTCACCATTAAGCGCCTGCTGGCGGAATTGATACTGTGACGAACAATTTGTATTAGCCAATCCGCTCAGACTATCGACAATCACCAGGCAAAATCACCAGGCAAGGACGTCACTTACTCTCGCAATCCTGAAATCGCGTATAACACTCCTGGCGATTCCTCCTGCTACACATCTGTTCTTGATCTGCGTCGGCCGGGTGTAGGCGTGCATCTGAGAAAGCTGCAGCTGAGCCTGGGCACGGACACGCTGGGGGAGGGTAGTGTTGCGGATGATGTAGCGGAGAGCTTGACTAGATAGTGTGAAGAGGACATGTCAGTTCTGAGTTACTTTCGCAAGCTTCCTTAGCTAGAGGCTGCTGGGCTTCCAGGGTGGTCATACCGGTCAGGCTCATATTGCTCAAAGACCTTGCGCTTCGTGTGGTCGCGGATCACGCGGGCATTGATAAACCCGCTGAGATCCAGCCTCTTCGATCTGAAGTGCGACATGGTGAATAGTGGAATGAACGTTAAGAGGTAGCTCTCTTCGCTGTCAAATGAATGTCTTGGGGCACCGGCGCAATAGAAAGCGGTTCAAACGGAGCGGCGGAGTTGGCAAAATGTGCCTTCCAGATCTGGTTAGCCCGGGATGGCCCAGATATCAGAACGATTCAATATAACTACCTCCGTAATCCTATTATGATCTATAAAATAGGTTTATGCTCTTTAGAATATGAATATGCTGCTTATTGAACTGACTATGTTTTACTTACCAATCGGACATGCGACAATCCCTCCGAGTACTCTAGTCTTGATACGGCCTCTTAGCCTAGAGAGGGATCACAGCGGAAAATAAAAGCCACCAATAGACGATATCGCTTCTGATAATTCCATCAGTGACAGTCAGCTAGTATGTGTGGTTTTCTGTCCGGTGGTTGAGAGCTGGAGTGTACGCTCTACACGCTCCTACAATTCCAGTGCCGTTCCGAAGAGTCGCGAGATGTCCATGAACGAGGTCAATTACTGTCGAGTACGTGCGACAAAGACCGAGAAAGAGATCACGGAAGTAATTGTACACCTTTACTATTCGTCAGAGTACCCCAATGCGGTAAATTCTATATGCTGGTACAGGTTGGCTGCACGCGAACTCAAAGCGAAGTGCAATAGCAATGCAGGAGTGATGCCACCATTGACCGTCCTCCTTCCTCCGCCATACTGGTATCATTGAAAATTTTTGAAATGAAATCAGTGCTTGACGTTCTTAGCGTTGGGGTTGCGGGGATCGTTCTTGAACTCCTCGGCTAGAAAAGAAAAACAGTAAATGTCAGTCATTGTTGATTGAAGTGATGGAATTCGAAATGCATGGTCGAGGCGCATCCGCAGAGGGATCCTTCCATCTAGTCGCAGGGCAAAAGGGAGGCTCACTGTTCATCAGAGCGTTGGCGAGAGAGTTGACGCCGTAGAGGATGACGACACCTGCAACAAAATTGTTGTTAGACTGGGGCATTCCGGGTCTGGCTAAGATCGAGACCGCTTTTCTGGGTCCAATCTGCGAGTTCAACATCTCCGCGATAAAATGAAGATGGCATACCGGCAGCGAAGAAAGGAGCCATAGGCTTGGCTGTGATTAAGCGGTTAGCGACATGATCCGATCACCATCGCACGAGTGTAGTAGGGGTCCTATAACATACCCACAGGGGCGGGGAACTTCTTTCCGAGGAGAGACATTGCGACTTATTATGCAATTTGAAGCTGACTTCTGGTTGCGGAGGGTTCAGAGAGTTGATAGAGCTTGAGAACGGTGCGACGAGGAGAAGCGGAAGCAACGAGGTTTTGCCCGGAAGGCCGATATCCGGCCGCTTTTACGGAGTGGAAACTAAACCAGTGCCGCTTTTATCGGCCCGCGGACCCCTCAGCAAATAAACAATGAAGACCAGAATGCGAGAAGACAGCAACATATCACACCCAGACGAAATTAATAGTAACATATGCTCCAACATGGCTGCATCACTTCAAGCCTCAGTTGACTCACTTCAATCCTCGTTACAAACCCTCGATTCATCCATCTCCACTCTCGACTCCGCTGTTAGCGACTTTCCCCGATTGTGCAAGGTCTTGCAGACAACGCGGGTAAGCGACATGATAGTACGACAAGCCTATCATTTCGATTGATTTGCTGATTCTTGGGTTGGATGCTAGCACTTTGAACTCCTTCCAGAACCTACTCTGCGCGAAGCACAGCAGTTACTCTTGGATGAAATCACACCGAGCATCGCGCATCTATTATCCTTAGCCTCAAACCATGTCGAAAAGCTCTCCCGTCGCGAACAGGCACTCAAAGCTAAATGCGAGCTCCAGGAGGGCCGCCTTCACTCCAACGACAGCCATCAATCCTCGAGTCGCGGTCTGGGCGCCATGCGCGATCGACACAGACAAGACGCTGGTAGTGCTGTCGCAAAAGCAGCGGAATACAGACGACTCGTCCAGAAGAAGGAACGGCTGAAGTACACGGTTGAGCGATTGGAGCTGCAGAGTCAGCAACGTGAACGTCAGCTGAGGAAAAGTATGGCTTTTCAATAAGTCCACAAGCGGAGTTGGGAATCTACCCTCGATTCGAAGAAGACTTTGTCGCGGACACTACGTCTACGGAATATATTGTCTGGTCGAAAACAGACAGTGAAGCTGCTGGTTATCTGCGACTATGCGATAGCACCTATGAGGACGCGAGTCCACCCCTCTATTCCGAGGAACAGCGCGTCTGGCGGGCCCGACGATCAAGGCAGCATGCCTTTCGATCACTACCGAGCGGACTTTGCGAGAAGCAGCAACTTGCAAACGGCGAAAAGGGCGCCTATGCCGACTTGGGCTGATCACTTCGGTGGTAGACCAAAGCTGCTGGTTCTAACTGCCTTGGGAAGGCCACCATCCATACATATTAAGCTGACGAGTGTGTGAATGTGCACCCGGAAGGATTGCATGGGATTAAGAATAGTAATTTTGAGTGAGGAGCTTTACTGTGGCTGCACTCTATGCAGTGATGTTCTATTGTACACACAAATGCAACACAAATATTCCGATCCTGTTCCGATCCTGACTGTTCAAAGCTGTAGTATACCCATGAACCATGATACGCCGCAAACCTATTCTTTTAACCCCCCCAAAATGTACACTGTTGGTTGATTTATGCATTTCAGTCAAGATCATGGTCCGTCAGCTTGGCAGTAGATTGCTTCTTCGAGGCTTGTCTGATCTTCTTCTTGTCCTGGTGTTTCTTCCAACTAGGAATCGTTTGACCCTTCTTTCTCACAGGGGTTGTGAAAACATCCCAGCTGTCGGACGAGGTAGTTTCCAGAGCACCATCTTCAGATTCACCTAGAGCGGCTTTCGAAGCAGCTCGCTTCGCCAAACGCTCTTTCTTGCCCTCGCCATGCTTCTCACCGAGTCTTAAGCTCCGTGGAACGCGGGTCTTCGCACCAAGAGCCCACAGATCTCCCCAGCGGGCTTTGCGTGCATCCTTGTAAGCTTGCTTACTGTAGGAACGAGGAACGGTCCAGCGTTCAATCTTTCCTGCTGGTGTACAAAAATCAAAGATGACATGTCCACGGCGTTTCATTGGGGTGTAGACGGCGCGAGGGAGAGACAACGTATTGAAGTTTTGGCCATTTTGGGCAGCTGAAGGCTCGCTGAGCTCAGGCTCACCTGAGCCATCGGCGTCTTCCGACTCCATATCGTGAAGGTGCTCATATCCGGCAAAGGCTGCTTCAGCGGCCTCAGGTCCTTGGACGATGTTCATCTCCTTGCGGAGATCTACACCACGTTGAACCGCTATGTAACTGAATTTGACATCCTCATGATTCCGATCCTTGGCGCCTAGGATTCGTTGAAGGAAAGCGGGTCTAATGTATCTCTGCTCAAAATGGCAGAAGTCTCTGCGTCCCTTGGCATGGCCAGCGACCGTGTACATGGGGCATTTCGCATGATTCGTGCAAGGTGCAATAATCATGCCTTCCTCTTTATCAATGTGCTTGTTCTCGTTAGAAGACTCGGTAAGTTCTTCGTACTGTGTAGAGCCGGGACTTGAAATGTAGCGTTTCAGCAACATCTCACGAGCGCCGGCTATCGCTTCGAATCCCTTCTGGTGACCCTTTTCAAGAAGAATCAGAACTCCGCCGTTAGGATTCAGAAGAGTCCAAAGATTTTCGACATGTTCTTTCCGCATATACTCTTCCTCCAGGCCAAGTAGAGTATGTGGCGCTATGATGACATCGTATTGTTTGCGCGGGGGTGGAGGCCGCTCATCATCGAGAGTTGGCTTCTCACGAATATGAACATAATCGGGCAAGCGCGGAAGGAAAGTTGTGTTGTCGAGCATTGCACTCGCGCGATTGCGGAGCGCTTCTGAGGCTGTGACTACCGTCGACCTACCTATTGGAACAGGGTCTGTTTCGGGATGATCTGGAACCATGGTCTCCCATTCTGCACGAAGGACGTCCCTCCAAGCCAGAATTCCGGCACCACCAGCGCCGGCGTCCAGGACATGGGGACCATCCTCCTGTGCCATCAGCCGACGTATCCAGTCTGTGCCCAGTCGCTTTCGAACCTCAACCAGTACGCTCAAGGTAGACGCGTACATGCCGGGATATAAAGCTGCCATGTACACATTTCCCTCCATCTGGCTCATGTGTCGCTGAGAAGCCTCGAGGGGAATCGGAAGCTGAGGTACCTGTGCGCGCGGAGGTGGAGTTGTGGTGGAGTGAGGCAGCAACCGGCCGCCAAAAGTCCGGTGAGCGACGTCGGCGATATGCTTGTTCGAGAACTCGGAGAGGATGACGGAGATCGGGCCAGTTACAGTGTCTTTCGGCAAGAATACAGTGCTTGGGTCCGTAGAGAACTTTCCCTCCCGCGTCAAGGGATGCAAGCGAGGGGCCGCGTCTGGAACCGCTTCATCTTCGAATTGTTCCAGCATCAGCTCCCCACCAAGCTGCTCCGCCACTTCTCTCGTGCGACGCATTGCGGCCGATTCTTCCACCGGAGGACCGACTTCCATATCATAGACGAGCGGAGGCCCATCGTCTTGCGACTCGACCTTCTCAAACTCGACTTCTTTCCAGCCTCCCTGGCCATCCTCTTGAAACAAGCGATTGGCATCTCTATCCTCCTCGGCCAACTCAGCTTCCAACTCCGATTGTGGTTCTTCCGCCTTAATGATCGGTTCGCCGTATAGCCGTGTATACAAGCGAAGTTCGGTTTCGTTTAAATAGCCTGCTGGAAGGTACTCGCCGAATTCTTGCCTCGCAGTTCGTACTCGTGATTCCAACGCTTGTTCGTCTCGGTGGCCGATCGTCTGGCTGAATACATGGTCGAGTTCGGGACCTTCAAGGTTCAAAGCTCCTTGATACTCTTCCAACAGTCCCAAATCATCCATGAGCTCCGCAAGCTCCAGCTCGGTTTCATTAATCCTATCGATCAGAGCGTAAATGGTGTCTTTTCGGTCCGCATAAGGATGAATATCTGAGGGCGTCTTGCTCGAAACATGTCTTCGCCCGATCTGCCATCGCTCGGTACTGTTGCTGGAGGTACCTCTGAATGATATGGTATGTGTGGTAGGGGATGGCGCCCTACGGGACAAAGTGCTTTTCAGGCGTTGAGCGATGCAATTTGCAGCTCCGCAGCGGAGCTGCTGCGATGCAGTCTGCTGCGAATTGTAGACTGTGCGCACAAGATCATGCGAACATGATCGACGTGCCCTCAATGCCGGCGACCTTGACAGCATCCTAACACCTTCTCCCAAGCGCACCGAACCAAAATTCTGGTGAGCAATGAGTGAGGGCAGAAATTGTAACGCCACTCGAGGAGCTTTACATGGGAAAACTTTCGCCAAGATGCAGTGTTCCTGGCGGAATCCCACAGCTCTCATTGGCCGCTCAGAATTTCTACGATTACATAACACATTTATCTGAGAAACGATTTGTCCAAACAGCCGCGACGGCGATCGGTACTCTTCATTCAAAAATTTGGTATTGTATTCAGTTTTGGAAGTGACTGTGGATATCATGATTCGCTGTCTGTGTCTTCAGTGCCCATTAGCACTTTCAGGGATGTCAACCATTTCATGACTTCATGCTCCAGAGCCGTGAGTTTGGCCATGACTGCCATCAGACTAGGATCCTGGCTCTCGACTCGAATCTTCTCCTTTACTTTTACCTCTTCTCCTTTCCAAACGAAAACATCGCCCATCTCGTCATGAGGGCGATGCCGGGGCCCGAATAATCGGTCTCGAATGTTGAACCCGGTAAGCGAGATATCGGTAGCGAAGGCGGTCGGCGCATGAGAAGAAGGTGCAGTGGTTTCAAGCGTTCTCAGATGGAGCACAAGAGCCGAGTCCGCAATAGAGAGGTGGAATGAGAGATCTGGTGGCAGCGGAGGGTCGAAAATCTTGTAGTCCAATCAGCACCGATATCACTTCAGACGCCCGTAATGTTGAGTACTCACATTATCCTCCACGCTGGTTTCCCACCACTTGCCTTGCACATTATCGTTCTCCCCTTTTAGCATGTGCCGCGCCTCCGTAATAGTCTCATGCAAAAGACGTAGTTGACCGAAGATGAAACTGGCATTCAGTGGGTCACCGGTCCATGTGCTTACATCTACGACATCGAGGCTCTGATTGACGAGATCTCGCACGGACGACAACTGTTCAAGGACGAGCTCTGGAGCGCCAGGAGCATTGGATAAGCAGAGACGGGTAGTGGGCGCGCCACGGGCAGAGGTAAGAGAGCTAAGGCGCAGTTGTATGTCCTATCAGTCGCCATCACATTAGCTGCCATATCGCAAGTAACGTGTTTGACGACGCACGAAGGATGGCGCAGAAGCATACCCCCTTCACGACTTTGGTTCCAACTCTGGTCACGAAGCCTTTGACACACTCCGACCGGTGAGAGGACAGCACCAGCGTCGAACCTGGCTCCTTTGGCGCCAGCAATGCAGCACAATCACGAAGGCCCTCCCTCAATGCCGTTAGAGAATCCTGTAGAGACCGAAGCAGCCATTCTAGTTCCCGTGCCTGGACCAGTGTTTAGAGATGAGTAATAATCTACGCACAAGGAAACATGGGCTGCGTACCAAAGCACTGTCCGCCTCCCGTTCCAACGAATCTGGAGGCAACGGTGGGTATGCCCAAGTTGCCATCACGAATATTCACAAGTAACCCAATTATCAAAGTGTGCTTGATCTCTAGTGACATAGACCCCAGAACTACTAGACTAGTACCCAAGCTGCAGTGGAAAGTGGCACCCACCTATTGGACTGAGGTACAGGGTAGGGAAGGTAGAAAGCGCACAGCCAGGTCCACAGTAGTGGGGAGTTGGACTGGCCAGGCAGAAAAATTTCGAAAGACTAGATCCAATTCCAGTCAAGTAAAGGTCATAGTCTCATCGTCTCATAGGCTCATAGCTGGAGCCAGTTTGCAACCCGATCGATCACCATGGGTGGTGCAACGTCAGAGCCACTGGGCCGAGGAGAGGAGGAATGGAGGGAAACGGAGACAGTTGCAGTTGAGAATGAGTTGGACAACGTCATGGATGTGATGTGCACTAGTCCCGGTTGAGGTTAGTGCTGGGCATTAAGGTAGCGGCTATCTGGAAAAAGGCTAGCGGGGTCCGGTCAATGATGACGTCGAGATCATCACTTGGTGTTCTTGGCTCTTCTGTACTGCGGAAAAAGCAAGAATCAGTGGATGCTATCATGCTTGGTCGTGCCACACTTCGAGCAATTAACTTTCAAATGAACACGGAGAGTCATGATGCATCCTCATTATTATATCACTACCCCGATAATTTTCTGCCCTTTCCCGCAGGGGTGCCCGGGATCACCGGATCATTGATATAATTGCCGATGCCCAGGTTGCATTTTTCTGCGGCATATGTTCGAAATCTTCTTCAGGACTCTATTCTGACTGTCTACATAACGTCCCCCGGACCTTTGCTGTTAGTTTTTTAATTTTACCCAGTATTTCCCCCAACTACGTCCAGCCGAAAATAATACGTCCTTCACGCCGGCACGAGCCCTACGCCGAGTTAGAGATAGTAAGATGGTTTTGAGCAGTGAGTATCGCTCTGGTAGTTAGAGAAAGTCCCGTCTAACACACTGCGACAGGAGTGGGTCTAGGCTTCCTTGGCCTCTTTTTTACGGCCTCAGCCCTTCTGTTGATGTTCCTCGCTTTTCTCGGAGGAGCAAGGAACTCGAACCCTCTGGACAGGATTTATTGGCTTGAAGCTGCCACAGGCAATATCCCCGGCGCACCCGACTTGTCCCGATGGACATATTGGAATCTCTGTGCAGTGAACAGCGCCGGCCACAATGAGTGCGGAAAGTCGTACCCTGACTACCCCTTTGATCCCCCAGGCCACCGGAACTTTGATACCCATGTCAACGTCCCTGCAGCTTTCATTGGGTGAGTAGCAGCAAGCATGTCCCTTGACATCAATGTTTAGCGTTGTATGACAACAACTAACGATACATAGGACCCGCCATTATTTCTTGACCTCCCGCTTCATGTTCCCATTCCACATCATCGCCTTGTTCTTCGCTACCTGCTCGCTCTTCACGGGTTTCCTTGCCATGTGCACCCGAATTGGAAATTGGGTCTCGGCATTTTCAGCGTACTTTGCGCTGACTTTCCAGACCATCACCACTTGCCTGATGACGTGAGTTCCACCATTCAATGTTTCCGAGATTATAGATCCGTTATAACTGACAAATCGAATAGCGCTGTCTACGTCCAGGGTCGCAATAAATTCAACAACAACGGCCAATCGTCTCATCTCGGTGTTAAGGCTTTCGCCTTCATGTGGACTTCCGTCGCTCTCCTCTTCCTCTCCTGCGTGATCTACTGCATGGGAGGCGCCGTCGGCCGAAAGGACGGCGGATATAACGGACGGGAACAGAGACGGCGTGGTTTCTTCAATTCGCGCCGAGGGGGGAGCTTGAGAAGCAACAAGGAAACCGCGCCGTAAATCTCGTTTCGTCTCTTTTGCGCGAGATGAACAAGTATTGGCGTGGCATAGCTCTTAGCATCACGATCCATTTTCCTGAGTTCAAGGCTGTTTGCTGCACGAAAACTCCAATATAACGGACATAGGATCCTTGGCGTTTTCGCTCACCAAGCGTTCCTGAACACTGACTTTGCACCAGACGATTTATTTGTCTACCCCTCGACCCCCCTCCAACCTACGCTCATTTTACATGTTTATGAATTGGGTACATGTTTAATCTTTGTGGCGCTCTAATCCACCAGTTGCCCCCAGTTACTGTATGCTTGCTGCTTGTTTGACGGCTCTTGACGATGTTTGGACTATCATCTTATCCATTTAATAATCTGTAATATAATTCCTCTGTTCCAATAGGTCACCACACTATTTTGTAAGAAGTCTCCAATTACCAGAGGTACTGTCATCTTAACAGGGTATGTTTTCAAAATTGGCAGTAGACGATACCATCACAAGTACAATTAGCATGCTAAAACGGAATCGACAGATTTTCAGAGCTAGGAAGAGCAAATAAAATTATAGAAAAATGCCAAAAGTAAAATTGACCACATCTAGATACTCTATGAACTCATATAAAGGATGACATTACCCATGACGTTGCCTGTTTCAAAACGGTAGATAGTTTTCTGAAAGGAAAATACGGAGGCCCGGATTACTGCTTAAGCCTTGGGCGACTCAACGGCGCCGCGGACAGCACTCTGACCACCGACTTCCCGAGCGGTGATCTGCATGCCCAGATCAGCGTTGACGTGGACCATCAGCTCAACCTTGCTGCCAGCCTTGACGCCCTTGACCGCAAGTTCGGCAATAGGTCTCTCAGTCTTCCATACAATCTCGCGGATCTCCTCCTCTTCATCTTCGTCCGAGTCAAAGTCGGAGTCTTCGTCTTCGTCATCCTCAGCCTTGGCGGGTTTCTCCTCCTTGGGCTTGGGCTCGGGCTTGGTGACCTTGATGTCGCGGACACCCTCGCAGACACGCAAAAGAACGTCACCACCATCCTTAGGGGCGGAGTACTGAGCGATGCGGCGAGCAGGCAGGGCGGTCTCGGCGTTCAGAAGAGGCTTGAACTCGACAGTCTCTCCGTGCACAAATTCAACACCAATGGCATTGCGCAGATGAGGAGTGGCAGTAACCATGGGGTGGATGCTCTGCTCAATGTCTTCCTTATCGAACTCCTGGATCAAAGAGGCCTGGATGGCAGCACCACGAGGAGCCAACTCGGAGGGGTTGATGGCACTGGCAGAGGTTGAGGGGGCCAGGATCTGGGTCTTCTCGGGGAACATGTTGCGGGCCAGCTGAGCAATCTTGGGTGTGTGGGATGTACCACCAGAGAAGATGACCTCGTCAATATCCAGGACATCCAACTCCGCCTTCTGGACAACCTGCTCAATCAGACGAGTGAACTGAGCAAAGACCTTGCCAGAAAGCAGCTCGTAACGGGTCCGGTTGATGGTTGAACTGAAATCAATACCGTCCGCAAGACTTTCAATGCTCAAGCTGGCATTGGTACCCAGACTCAAGGCCCGTCTTGTGGCCTCACCTTCCAGCTTCAACTTGGCGAGACCGCGAGCGTTCTCGCGAGGGTCGGTCTTGTGCTTCTTGATGAACTCCTTGGCAAAGTGATCGATGACAATCTGATCCAAGGTTGCTCCTCCGAGTTCGTAATCATGGGCGGTTGCGAGGATAGTGTACATGCCACCGCGGCAAGCAATCACAGCGGCGTCGGAACGGGTACCACCAAGGTCAGCGACCACAACAAGCTTGTCAGTAACGGTAGCCTCGGGTCTGGCATCGTAAGCCAGAACTGCAGCAACCGGCTCGTGGATGAGCTGGAGAACCTCGAGGCCAGCGGCGCCAGCAGCAGCGATAAGAGCTTCGCGCTGAGCATCGGTGAAGTCGGTGGGAACGGTGATGACGGCAGCATTGACGTCCTTACCGAGGTAGTCGGAGGCGGATTGCTTCAGACGGCGGAGATGACGAGTTGTGATCTCAGAGACAGTGACAGTGTTGGGGGTCTCGCTGGCGGTATCCCGGATGGTGAAGGCAACAGTGGAGTCGACTTGCTGAGGGTGCGCTGACTGGTGGCAGGGAGTAGGATCTATCGACTTGAAGCTGTGTAACGCAAGATCAACATTTCTGTTCTTGGAATAGCGAAATCCAAGTCCACGGCTACTTACTTCTTGCCAACATAGTCTCTGAAGTATGCAACAGTGTTCTGGGGATTGCGGACAAGCTGGGCCTTGGCTTGGGTGCCGTGGTACTCTTCACCGTCAATGTAGGACAGAACAGTAGGAATTTGACGATCTGCAAGTCTTGGTGAGCTTCTGTTCCATGAATGTAAATTGCCCAGAGATGCGTGCGATCATGCGGGGCTGCGATCAACGTACCTCCTTCCTCGTTGGCGATGACTTCAGCCTTGCCTTCCTATAAGCCGAACCATTAGAATACTCCTCATGCTTCAAAATCGGATGTTGAACCAGTGGAACATACAGGAGTGAGGCGAGCAATGGAACTCGAGGAGTTACCAAACGAGATACCGATAGCGAATCTCTCCGCTGTTTCAGCGGCGACACCGTTCGAATCACCCATTTTTGATGTAGAGAAGGGCTGAGAGAAATAAATGAGGACGGAAAAAAGTGAAGATGAAAGAGGTGTGTGAGGAAAGGCGGGAGTCAGGCCCGGAAATTTGACTCTACTCTGATCGCTTTTGGATTTCTTCTTTCTCCGAGCGGAAGAGAAAAAAATCTTTTGATTTGTTTGGCAGCGGAAGGCAACTGTGGCTGGTGCTTATCGATATCAAATGTGGCGGTGCGACTAAGAAATCACCAATGGAAGTATTCCAACAGCATGAACTTCTAGTAGTTGGTCAACCTGAGAGACCCCGTCGACTTTTAAGTATCGAACATGCTCAGATTCCATGTAGACTTCTAGGTTTCCTATCGGCAATAGTATACTACTTAACTCAGTGTCGTCAATTTAGTCTCTGGGCTGATTTCATTCTGCAGGACTGTAACGTCACGTGCTGATAGTCTGATAACAGCGGGATTCCTTCGCATGAATTTCATGTTCCAGTTCAGGTCACATCTCGCTGCCAGTCAAGCGATTGATCCGCGTTCAGCTGGTAACAAACAGACGCTCCCGTCATCAGTCAGAACGATTCGAGAAAATGTCGTCGCCTGTCATCTTGCTCCCAGGTGATCATGTGCCGTCAGATCAGCTACCCTCAAACAAATCTGGTCCGCTGAGACTAGGGCCTGGCCTTCGCCTGCTTTCTCCAGCAATTCCCTCTCCGTCATCTGGTCATGTTATTGCTTCTACACAGGCCGGTCTTCTTTCAACAGATCACAAGAAAAATGCTGTTTCCGTCCTATCATTTCCCAATCGCCGATACGTCCCGACACCCAACGATTTGGTGATCGCACAAGTTCATCACTCCAGTGCGGAATACTTCTACTGCATGATTACACCGCAATCACCCCACGCGCTGCTTGGCCAGCTTGCTTTTGAAGGTGCGACAAAGAAGACGAGGCCAATGTTAAGGCAAGGCGATTTGGTCTATGCTCGAGTCCTATCGATCGGTCTCGGTGCTGGTGCAGAAGTTGAGCTTACCTGCGTAAACCCAGCAACCGGCAAGGCTGAACCTGGAGGATTGGGTCCATTGAACGGAGGAATGGTGTTTGACGTCTCTACTGGCATGGCTGCGAGATTAATGAGAGCTAGCTCGTCGACCTCCCAGCAAGAGGATGGTGTGGATGGATTAGTGGTCTTGGAGGAACTTGGGAAGAAGTTGGAAAAAGTCGGAGGCTTCGAGATCGCCGTGGGGAGAAATGGCAAGGTCTGGGTTGACTGCTCAAATGGAGGCAATGCTGCTGTTAAAGCGACAGTGGCAATAGGACGTTGTCTCACTACGATTGACGAGCATGATCTGAATCAAACGGATCAGAGGAAACTTGTGACGAGGATTCTACGAGAAATGAAGGTCGAGTCTTGACGTTGCATGTGATACACCGAGTAGCTCCTTGTATACCCAACCGGTTGTCCTGGTTTCTTGAATTTTACTCCCTTGTGACCATTATTGCGAAATAGACTACGACTACCAAGACACAAAGTTCTACTTTCAAGCCGCCAACCATTTATTGCCGAAATCACGATCTGTGCAAAGTTGTTGTAATGCTCCTTAATAACACTCGGTGGACGGTTAGTTAGGGCGGAGAAGATCCGCAAAAAGTCGCGCCGCTCGAGCAGCTTGAGGAATTTTTTCCACTATCTTATCTGGCGGAGCTACTGACTCGCAAACAATTTTCCCCCTAAGATACCTCGCGAAAATCATCCAGATTCATGCCTTCTCCCTAGTAGCTTTTTTTCAAATGGGTCAAGGGTCCTCGCAGCCCATGAATGGTGGGCTCAGTGAGCCTGAGAATCAAGGTACGCTTTACCCATAGTGCTTTTTGCGAAAGACCGTATACCTACTTTTCAAAACATTGCTGCGCTGTACTTAGAGCCTGACTGTTTGCAAGATATGAGTGAAGACCGTGATGCCGTTGGTTCCTCGGGCCCTCCGAAATCCTCTAAGAAAGTGAAATCAGAAGCCCAGGTCGAAGGGGCAGCCACTCCCAAGCGGAAACGAAAGCAGACTGTCAACGATACCAACACTGCCATGCCTTCGGACGCCCCAAACCAGTTGCAAGAATCGCGACTGGATCAGTCAGGCGCACGCCCAGTGAAGCGCAAGAAGACCGCCCCCTCGACTGCAAACACGAAGGAGGCCCGCAAGCCAGAGAAGAATGGCAATTGCGAAGCCATTTCGTCTCCAGAAACCCCCGTGATTGCCAACATCTCCGAGACTGGGGAAGCTCAGCGCCAGTCGATTGATATGCAACCTCTAACGGACGTAGCGCATACGAACGGAACCACGCCCAAAAAGCCCAAGAAGTCCAAGACGAAGACCACACAGCAGGACGAGGGAAACCAGGTGTCGGCCCTTCCGCGGAGACCTGCCGAGACTAAGCCGATTCGTGTGGCGTCTGCGAACCCATCGCTCGCGGATAGCTCAACGGACCAGAAGGATTTTACGGACACATCAGCCGCCCGTGGACCCAGAAGAGGGAAGACAGATAAAATGATCGGTTTCTTCGCTCCATCCGAGGTCAGCGCGTTGGAGACCTTCAAACTCCAGTTTTGCAACCAGCATGCTATCTCCAGCGAAAGATTTGATAGGATGGTACAGCATGTGGACCGGCGCAAAGACAGCGGCTGGCCCTGTGATGAGATTATTAAGAAGCCGGATTTTTGGCAACAGATTTATGATGTATTACCAAGCAGGGATCGAAGATCGGTCTACAGATTCATGAGGCGACATTTCCAGGATTCGACTCAGAAGCCGCACCACTGGACACATGAACAAGATGACGAACTCATCGACCTGGTAGGACGGTATGGTCCTAGATTCGCTCATATTGCGAAGATACTGGGCCGAGTTGAGGATGATGTGGTTCAGAGATGGAAGAATCGGCTTGAGCATCGGAGCACCATGAGAAGGGGTGCGTGGTCCGAAGAGGAAGTCCGCGGGCTGCTCGATGCTTTACAAACCTCCTGGAACAATCTGAAAAAAGACGGCCAAGATGTGGGCCGAGACATCTACGAAATGGATGAGGGCCTAGTATCTTGGGGCACAGTCAGTAATAAACTCCAGAACTGCCGGTCCAGACAACAGTGCGCAGATAAATGGCGCAAGATCAGACGCAAGATTATGGGACAGCGCAGCACTGGCAACCAAAACGCTGTCTACGATCCAGCAACAGAAGCAAAGCCGCAAGGCAGAGCCAAGTCCATCACGCTCGCGGAGCAAATGGAAATGGAGAGGATGTTGAAGAGCTCCGAGTACGTTGATTCCGAGGATGGAGACGACGAGGACATGGAACAGTCTGCTGGTACAGAGTCTCAATCGCCGAACATCAAGGATGAGGGTGAGTCTGCCGAAAAGGAACCCACCATCATGTCCGCCCCAGAACGACCGCCGGCTACCTCAGCGAAGGCACTCGATAAAGGTTCTCAATCCAAGGAGTCACATGCCGAAGTTGAGGACGACTCTGAGTCCGAAGCATCATCCGACTCAACTGAGTCCGCCTCAGACGATGCTTCCGAAGCCGAAATCAAGTCAGGCTCTGGATCTGGCTCGGACTCGGACTCCGAATCCAGTGTTGAAAGTGACGCAAATTCCGACGCCAGAATCAGGGCACAATCTCCAAAAGGGCAGGAGAAAGATGTGAGAAAGAACAAAGCATCTTCAGCAAAGTCGTCGACAAAGCCTACAAAGTCCACGCCGAACCAGAAGCTCGTTGAGCGGTCCAAACCCAAAACAAGTGACGGTAAACAACCCAGAAGTCAGACTATGAAAACATCTGCTTCTGACTTGTCGATCAAGGCTGAGACAAACGCAACTCAACAGGCTAAAGCTCCAAAGCCATCGAAGTCAACCACTAAGGAAGACAAAATGTCGCAAGCGACGTTGTCCGAGTCTGTATCGGAGTCGGAGTCCGCATCCGATCCTTCCGACTCAGAAGAAGAATCTATATCAAGCTCCGAAGAACCTTCGGACAGACAGTCCACAAAAGTAGCGCCGAAAGGACCGACATCGGTTCAGAAAGCAAGCGTGAAGAGCCAGGTCTCTCAAAAGGCTCAAAATAAGGATGAGTCCGAAGAGAGCTCCTCAGCGTCAGATGAGACGTCTTCCGGTGATGGCAGCACCGACGCCAGTGAAGCCGACGATGACAGCGACAGCGACGGTGACAATGGCTCTAGCGCTAGCGACGACAAGCCGGTGGAGGCGCCGAAGACAGCCGCCCTCAAGGGGACCAAACGTAAGGCTCAGGAATCCGCGGAGCAGACCGGCAAACCTGAGTCGAAGCGTCCGAAGACAGGGCAGAAACCAAGCAAGAAGTCATCTCCATCCTCCTCCGCTAGATCCTCGTCAGAAGATAGCGAAAGCGAGGATGACGCCGACAGCGGTTCAGAAGTTGATACCAACGAGTCAAGCTCGGCATCCGACAGTGCAGACTCCACGTCTAAGCCTCAGCCCAAATCAAAGTCCGAGTCCAAGCAACCTACCGCTCAGCCAAAAGCACCCAAAGCTATTAATGGGCAAAAGTCGGAACTCTCCAAGTCACGCACTCCAGTATCAAAGGAGGGAAGCAATGCCAAGAATGGGCAAAGCGGACAGAAGCAGGATTCGAAGCAAACCAACCCTTCCCTTTATCAGGTCAAGAAGGACAGAGAGAAGGAAAAAGGCAAACTGGGATCGACTCCGGTGTCAAAGGGGAAAAAGTCCAAGTGATGGGATACAAGTACGGTATAGACGATTGACTGACTTATGAGTGATGATGATTTGATTCGTGATAAGGACTTGGATGTACGTTAATTCGGTGTATTGTACGATAAACTCAAAGATCTCGGCTCGACACGCCTAATATATACTGGATAGATGGATAAAAATGTAATCTGGAATGTCTCTAATTCGACATTTCTCTTCTAAGGGCGATCAAGAACCAAAAGTGGGAGCTGCAGGCCTCATTTATATTGAGGTAAGTCCTGATATGAAGCAAGAAGCTGTATACTAGAGTTCATCCTTTTCCCAACCAGACTCCTCGTCTTGGTCTGCAGACTCCGTTTCTTCCTCCTGCTGTCGTCGTTGCTCCAAGGCGACTCTTTCCGCCAATGCTGCAATTTCATCGTCATATTTCGTCCATTCAGGAACCTGTCTTCGGGCCCTGTCCAGTTTGGGCTCCTTCGTTTGCGGGTTATTACATAGATCAATCGTTCTGGCTGTGCTGAGCGACTCGTCAGAGCACCAGGTCTCGCACCACAGCCACTCCTGGGGAAGGCTCTTGATCGGGATGTGATGCTGCATATGGTTCGGCAGGTCTTGGTCGAGATTACTCAGACTGTTGGGATCGGCCGAGAGCATCTGGTACTGTCCGCGAAGACGGTCGCCGGCCGCAAGGGCCCGGAAGCGGTTTAGATCTACCACGTACAGTGCTGAGATGTGATAGGGGAGACCGCGGAGGAAGTTCTTCCAGTATCCTTGCTTCCAGAAGCGGAAGCCTTCCATCTCCTCGCGGGAATCGCACATGGGTGTGAAGCCGTATGGCGCGCCCTCGAGATCTAGGGAGACGAGGTCGTACATATCCGTGCGGACGATTTGATCGGCATCCACGAAGATGACCTTATCTAGTGAAAGCGGGAAAAGGACGTCCAAGAAGAGAATCTTATATCCCCAGATTTCTCTCTGTTTCTCCCGCTGCGCGCGAAGCCAGTGCGGCCATTTGTATGTGACCATTTCGTACGAAAAGCCATATTCTTTCGCCAGATGGGGAAGGAAGGATTTGAACGAAGGCGAGAGGAATTGTTCGATAAACCAGAATTTGACGGTATGCTTGGTGTTTCGCATCACGGAGACCATCATGATGTTCAGCATTCGCTCGTACAAGTGACCACTGGCCACAGAGAAAATGTTGATGTCCGCCTGCTTCTCAGCCAAACCATCTTTAGAACCGACACCTACGCTTGAGAGTACACCCTGAGCGAAGTTGAAGCCCTTAGACACGTAGTCCATCGCTGAGCCTGACTTGACGCCTGTATCTAGGACATCTTCCATCTCCTGGCCCTTCTTACGCGACAGGCGAGGGAATAGAGTCTTCCCTTGGAAGGAGAGAAGTGCAACCTCGTTGTTCTCATCACCCGGTTGTGGACTGTACCCCTGGCCGCCGACACTGTCAAGGTTGAAAATGCGCTGACTGCGGCCAGGTTTAAGGTTGATCTTCCACAGTCCCGGCTGAGCTTTGAACTGGAAATAACCCAAATTCGCCATGATGATAGTATCAGCGAAGTGAGGATTGTCTTCGGTGCCGAGAATTAGTTGAACTCCCCTGGGGGCAGTCTTGACTGTGACATCCCGCGAATGTCCTTCAATCAGGATGTGTTCCAGTGCGTAGATGGCGTCCACATTGGCACCTGGTTTCAGGGAGCTCAATTTGATGTTGTCCAGGTCGTAGATCGATTCCTTAGGAGCAACGAGCCAGGGGGATGGGACGTCCATGCCCAGAGTGAGAAGTGCCTCCACCGGCACGCCAGAAAATGTGGCTGTGGGCCTTGCAAGAGTTCCATCGTCGTTGAACGATGGCTCCGAGTCCAAGACATAGCGATAGAATCGCTTCGTTGGTAGCTCCTGGATCTCATCACGTGGGTTCAGTGCCAATGTGACCCGGACACCGGCTAATTTCGAGAGCACCTTCAAGATTGGCAGCCACCTTTGTGCTGTTTCCGATGTAGGATCAATAGAAGCAGCGATGATGATAGCTGGATCTTCAGAAGTCGAAACAGTTATGACAGACCGCAAATCGTTCCATTTCTTGAACAAATCCATTCTGATGTTGGACATTTGTTCAAAAATGCCCTCAGGGACGTCAGACACAGTCGAAAGAGCTGCAAGAGAACTAAGTTCGGCAAGCGCAAGAGGGCCAGAGAGTTTCGACTCCAAACCAAGATCCTTTGCAGCCTTTGCAACTGGACCTATTCTCCTCGTCTGTTCGTAGGTCAGAAGTCCGTCCAGATCTTCTTTAGATAGCGTCGATCCATCTGGGAGAGGCCCAATCGCTCTGCCGTTGACAACGACGCCGTTCGTTCCAGGCAAAAATCCAAGGCCTCTAGCCAAGGCCTGCTGCGCCTCCCAAAACTGGGACATTTTCTTAGCCTCTGTTTCAGGAAAGTTGGTGATTTTCGCAGTCTTCAAATCGGCTAGAACTCGGGAAGCATCCACTTTGTCTGTCCCCTTCAACGAGTTATAGACCAAGATAGATCCGCTTTCCGTCTCTACATCAGGAGCTGGGTTATGAATCAAAACCATCTCCACTTCGCCGTGTGTCTCTCGAAGTTCAAGAGCTTCAACCAGCAACTTCAGGCCGTTCTCGGAGTCAAAGTCCCCGACAACGATCAAGTGCTTACTGTCCAGTGGATCCGTCTCGGATGCAATGCGAAGGGTATCAGCGGACTCTCCCCTAGACTCTGCTAGTTTCGAGATGTCCACAATACGGATATCCTTTGAATCCTCGGGGATTATCAAGGGGTTGCGGCGATCGAATGCTTCCGAGAGGAAAAGTTCGGGAAGCCAGGTATCTTCCTCGATAGATCCATCCACGACTCCTTGTTGGATAGTCTGCAAGTCGCGCCCAACCCTCATACTCATTTCCTGAGGCCAGTTGTCGTCCCGAGGAACGAAGACTCCATTCACCAAGATATATGGCGCGTCGCCCTTGATTGCAAGTCGGTTCTGGTATTGCTTGGTCCGGGAAACCAGAGTCTCAAGCTCACCGCTCTTCAAAATCTCTTCGAATGACCGAGTTTGCTTATTGGGCCGCGGAGTTCGATCCTTGGTGGCATGTTGGAAGGTGGCCTTGTCCGGAGACCCTATCTTCTTCTTGGCTGCGGACTACTTATCATTAGCACACAGACGACCAAATGACACCTGATGCGACATACCTCTTCCAAATACTGGATCAGACTGGCCAGGCCAAAGGTCTCATGGAGATAATGAGCGACTTTGAGTTGCGCGACGGCTCCCGGAGACGAAGCAAGAGGGACCAAACCAAATCGCAATGGGATCTTCCTCTTGACAAACACCTGAAGAGTTTTGACGACTAGCTCCATGTCATCAGAGCTAGTGAGATCCACAGGGGCGACAATATTATGCGCATCACGCCGCACAGCGGGGAGTTGGCCCGGGTACATGGGCTGAAGGTACTGCTCACGGTAAGTACGCTATTCGCACAGGGAACTGAAGGTGGAAGCTTACTGCTGAGAGGTCGTTTGGCCATGATTGGTATTTTGTATCCTTTTCCAGGTTGTTCATCCAGATGATCACGCCGCCGCCCTCAATTGCGTCCCGGTAGTTGTAACGCGGAGGGGAATCCTTCGCCAGTGTCTCTCCGAGGGTCTGATGGCAGAGCAAATCGACAGCTTCCTGAGCAGAAAGTCCAATGCCCCGAAATTTGTCGATTAGTCTTCTTTCGCGACGGAGGTGATCCAAAAGTGAGAATGCATCTATCTGACGAGGATCAATCTGAACGCCATTGATCCACATGACATTGGCGCCTGAAGGAAGCATTCCAAGTCGGCTCGTACGGATATCTTTCAGCAAAGCGGCTGACGCATTGTAGGCCGCAATCTTGGCGGAGTGCTTGGGAAAGTCCTGCGAAATCCTCGCAAGCGTATCCAAGGGGTCTTCACCGTCCATCACATAGCTGACCGTGTTCAGACCGAGGCGGGCCACTTCTGAGGAAGAGAGAGGTCTCAAATCGTCAGGCGATTCTTCCTCCGCGCTGGCCGACTCAGCACTCCCCGAGTCCTTTTGGCTCCTTTTCTCAGCATCACGGTCATCAATCACAATATAATCCGTCCGCTTGAGGGCAAGTTCGACACCATAGCCAGAGACAAAGAGGGGACGAGATATCCAATGCTGAGGCGGTCGGTAGCGCACGCGATACGAGATCTGTCCTTCCTTGGAGAGCGCACTCAAGGTCTGATGGAAATCCCTGAACATGGGGGATGCAATATCCGCATACAGAATGGCCGGTGGAAGCGATATATCGCCTAGCACTCGATCGAAGGGGAGTTCTCGCGGATCTCTGCGCACCATAGTATGTTAGGCACCCGTAAACCCACATTCAAGAACAATAGCAACTCACGACTCTCCCATCACGTCCTGCTGGGCACGCTCCATGCTGGAGGAGCAATACTGTTTACCCTCCGAGTGAACCCATACAGGACATGCCGCATCTTGCGCCGCCATCAAAGAATGTTGGACCGACGCATTATAGAACTGATAGTGCGCAGTGATTCGAGGGGCCGCCGATCGAATCGCCAGAGACAGCTTGAACGACGACAGAAGTTCCGGCGTGCTGAGATGTCCATCATCATAGACGACTTGCAGGAAACGGTCATAAAGCTGCTTTTCTGTGGTGGCGTCGTCAAAGGTTCCCTCCGCGATACGATCGAGTAGGGGGAAGTAGGACGTTGAATTCTCCTCCGCAGCTGTTTCTCTAATTTTATGATAAGCAAGCTATAAGCATACGGAATGGGATGGCTGGGCTTGCTTACAATAACTCTAGAATATACGGTGCTGAATCGAATGATGCTTGTAAAGCAACATTGACAGAGGGGCTTCCACGGACCACAGAGGTCAACGCAGCCAGTACTACAAGGCAAAGCCGCCATGAGGTGACAGAGCCTAAGCCAATAGCCATGATTGAAGCGAGACTTATAATCCACAGCTTCTTTTTCGAACAGTTTATCAAGTTGCTAGTGGAACAGCTGCCGAATAGCAAGCATAACGGGCCGACGGTTCAAGCTCGATGTTGGGTTGCAGGTAGCGTACAGGCAGGTAAAATGGGTAATCTTAATCAGGCATAAAGAGAAGCATTTATCTCCGTCTCAAAGAGAGGAGCCTGTAAGCAAGTTACCTCGTTCGTTACATATCTACAGGATGCTCTTCAGGCCACCTTGCTGAGAGCTCCTACGGGCGGCGCAGCGGCCACTAGCGCAGAACTTCCGTGTAGAAGAAGCTTCCTATTGGCCGGTTATTTCCACCACTTCATGAAACTGCATTGTTTTGTACAAAGTAAGGCAGCTGGGACTGTACCTGCGTTTCTTGAAGTAGAACAGCTTGGCCTCTGACTTGCTATATCCGCAGCATTGAAATCGCTGCATTTTGGTGGCTGTTGTTGCTCTATCGCCTATGCTGTTCATTATGGCCCAGTGCCTTGCAAGGGGTAGCTGAGTTGATCAGTGTCTAAATTCCATCGTTTCCTCCAAGAATATCACCCTTCTTCTTCCTGACAACGTCTGCTTCCGGAGGCGAACTGCGTCTTTTCCCTCGTCTTTGTCCGTTCTGGTGACGCTTGGTCCGGTCGCTTGAGGTTAAGAGAGCCAAGCTGGTAACGGAGAGGAGCTCTCCTACATCTGTACTGCCGTCCCCAGCCATACACGCCCAATCCTCCCTCGCCTCCTCCATAACATTTGCAATTATCTTTCCGCGCCCAGAAGCATGCAGGATGTTCCCGATCGCAGCATGCACGGCCAACAGAATAGGGCTCGGTGGCTGACACCGCTTGCTTTGACTCGTCAAAGTGACCAATCGATCTGCCGGTAGAAAGCCTCTGTACGCCGTAGCAAAGTGCGGAAACGTTTTGACTCGGTAACTGTTTGGAGTGCTCGTGGCCTCTAATATCAATCTGAAAGCCTTGAATTCGCGATCAAGCGGGAATAACATCATCATCGCGTTATGCTCGCGGTTGATGTCCTCCAATGTGAACTTGAGTCGAGACCGCAGAGCAGGAAAGTATTGGTAGAGGTTTGCCCAGACGTCTGACAACGCCTTCCTCTCGTCTTTGGGGCCTCCTAGTACGGACGGTAGTATGTGTGCGGCTTCTAGAGGACCCGTGAGAGCTTCGTCTAGAGGGTTCGAGTTCTGGTCGTAAGTGCCGGAAATGACGCATTTATTTCCATCTCGCTGAAGGCATTTTTTCCGCAGTCGTTCAAGTACTTTTCGGTAGTCTGGACTAACGAGGTCGATTGTGTCTTCCTCTGCAGAATAAGAAGAGCTGAGTTCAGGGGTGTGGTTCGCGTTGGCTAGGAGAGGCCGAATGAGCCCAATGTCGAGGGTCTCAGCTAGTTCGTGAAGTTCGTCATTAGATTGACAAGCCCAAATATCGTTATAGAGATTTTTCTGTCCGTCGGGTGGCAAGAACATGTAGCAAGTCTCAAGGAGGCGGACCGTGTCATCCTCATCATTGCGAGCTCCGTATCCTTTCAGCTTGGGCCTGAGTTTTGCCTTGACTTCAGGAGACGTAAGGTTATTCGTAGATGATGGCATGGGGATGAGTTATGAGTATTACCACGGTGCGTGTGATGCCCGTTGAGTTGTATTTTGATGACGCAAGAAGAAAAGTGAGAGTCCAGGAATTGAAAGAGAAAGACAAGTGTTTCTCCAGGCCTAAGGGTTTAAATTGAAGAAAGATTTGGAAGATTCACAGCCAGCTGCTCTGGTGCATTCGAGTGTTTTTCGATCGGGGTATACCTGATGCAAGTCTATGTTTTCTACTATTCGGAATACCTCCAAGCAGCAGCTCGAGCTGTAGTATTCCTTACGATCCAAAGACAGAAGTGACCATTATCATTGCTTCATATGGTGGAAACAGATGAATATAGGAAAACAATGACAAGTGGTACGGCTCAGCCATCTTCTCAAGGCAGCATGGCTCCTTCATCTTTAACAGCCAAGGCAAAGGGATGGTAGTACAAGAAATGAGATATTTTGGGCCATCTATCGTTTCTACAAGCTCAGAACGATGTTCGACAACAAGTTTGAATTGATCCTGCCAAATATGGTCATAAAACATGTGTATCATAAGCTGGTAGTCGTGCAACAAGTCTTCTCTAGGTACATTTTGTGCAGTATCAAACGCTTTCCAGACGCCAATCCTCCCATCAAAGACATGCTAAGCCGACCCAGATGCCGAAGACAAAAGCAAAGACAAATACATCCTGAAACTTCATATGAACATTAAAGCCACAAAAAGAGAAAAACAAACTCCGAATACGACCAATACTCCAGACCCACGCTTTTCTCCGTCCCTCCGTTGCTTTTGGAAAGAAAATGCGAGTGCAGTACATATAAATCCAACAATCATCGAGAATCAGAGCTCGATTGTTTTGAATGAGTTCGCTTGCGAGTGGTAGCCTCCCAAATCAGATTCCTGCGCTTCAGTTCATCCGTGTCGAAGTACGATTCTTCATCTGGCGCGTGACTAGGGAGGTTCTCTGGACGGATACTGAGGGCACTTGTAGACCTCATTTTCTTGAGACTTTTGGCCTTTCCAACGTCCCCGAGCTTTCGAAGTTCGCGGGCCAGTCGATCAAGGGCCGAACCACCCGCTTTAAAGGGAGGCTGTTTCTCCGGCGGTGGTGGAAGAGGCTTGTCCAAAATGTCCTCATTACTGTTGCCACTGCGGATCGAAGGTGGGGGAAGCTTGTCGGTCGATCCGAAGCTGATGCCGGAGTCGACTTTCCGACTCTTGTGGCCACGAGGTGCGGGGTCCTCTCGTTCTTCGAAGCTGGAAGGACCGTTCACCAGCCCACACTCGTCGATGATCTCATTGGCAATTCGCAGATACTTGTCCAGGGCTTCCCGAACCAATGGCCATCCATTCGCTTCACCTTCGGGTGCTCCCTGGGTAATCACCTTGTCTAGTATCTGCCTACCGTTGGTCTCAAAAGCAGATATGTATCGGAAAAATCCGTCACGCTGAGATTTGAGGATTTGCGGAGTCAGCTGAGAAGTGGGCGTAACCGTCGCTTCCGTCACAGGAGGGAAGAGCGTGTTCAGCATGGCAATGCAATTGGCCTTGTTGAATGGTGCCAACAACATCTCATTGATCAAGATCTGGCGAACCATGTCAGCAAAGGAAAGTAGTCATCAAGGATAAGAGAGGAACCAGCATACCCAGCGGCGAAGCCCGAGGTAGATCTGAGTGTAGAGAGCTTCAACTCTACGACCTTGAACATTAATCGATTCGATCCATGTGAGGACCCCCGGATATTTCTTTGCTAGCTCGGTCTTTTCCTTGAGGTCGTCGGGATGGATATTCAGTCGCTGTAAGGCAGCCGCAACCTCTCTTCTCCGGCGATTTTCTAGGTCCTTTAGATAGTCCAGGGCGGTCAAGGCTTGAGGAAAATCAACCTCGTCCAATTGAGGAGCGAAACAGCGACGAAGGAAAGAGGTCACGAAACTTGGCGGTAGGGAGCAGGGCTGGGATGGCATTCGAGCAATATGATGAGTCAGCTGTGCCCTGAAGTCCGCAGCCGGATCCAAGATGAAGTCCTGAGAGGAGATGGAGGCTTTGGACGAGCTGGAGGAGCGATTTGAGAAAGCAGTTTCGGGGGTGCGGGTTCCCGAGCTAGGTTGTCTGGTCGGGTTGCAGTTCAGCGCGTACATAGTACGAAGCGGAATCTCGTAGGTTTCAGGATAACGTAGGCAGTGGTCGAAGATCCAGGTCCAGGCAGAGCCATCTAGGCCGCTCGGACGTTCTTCCAAATGTGCCATGTTTGTCGATAAGGAAGAGAATGGAGAGTCAGATGGTCGATTGGAACTCGTTGGAATCCAGAACGAAATCTGTCGGAAAGGAGCGGGTTTTAAAAGGACTGCAGGTCAGGAAATGTCCTGAGTAAATCAACCCCGTACTATACGTTCAGGGGATGTGTGTGCGACGTGATGGAGATGCAGGTAGAAGAGTCAATCCAAATAGTACCGAAAACGCGGATCGCAAAGACGGCTGGTATCACTCGCGTGTAACCTGTGAAACCCGCAACTCCATACCACGAAACTGCACCTCGAAAACAGCAATTGACCAAAGCGGATGAAGGGTTGCTAAACTGGGGAGAGGAGCGCAAGTGAGAAGTGCTATCCCTTGGGTTCCTTCCGGCGTGAGGGGGGGAAAAGCGTCTATAGGAAGGCAAACGGGAGAAGTTCCGGTTTGCTTGATCTCCGCTGGTCAAGTCAATTGATTGAAAGCCGAATTTAACTTTCGTTTCCCTCTGGGTCCTCTTTGTTTCGAGTCCTAATCAAGCTGTTGGAGTACTCGAAAGATGCCGATAAAGATTGGATCAAAAACAGGTGGTGTGCTTTGTATGACGAAGAGTCGATAAACTCGGCGGGGATGCTGTCAAAGCAATAAAGCAAAGAGTGATCGAGGATCAGTGCGCTAAAAGAAGCCAAAGAGATTTGGTGCTTTGTATTTTGGATAGATCCAAAACCAAGTCTTGCGAGTCAAAGAATGAATAGAACGGAAATTTTGAGATCCAGCGACGGCGAAGAGTGAGAAGCAACGAATGTGGCGTCAGAACAAAGAATAAGACAGACGCAGACGCAGTCGCGTGGAAGTGAGACAATTACAACAACAACAACAATATTGGAATAATAATATCTATCAATCACCAGTTCCAAAACAACATCATCAAAATAGACTGAAGGAGGGGAAAGAGGAAGAACCAGGAATAAATGGTAACTGCGTTATGGACGGGCTTCCGAGGGAAAATGGGTGGATCGGACTAATAATCCTCATACTAATAAGCAGCGCACTGATCGGGTTCATTAATTATTACAAGGAAGAGCTGATCGAGGCTTCTGGACTCTCTTTGCCGTCCCACTTTTGCCCCTCCCACTGGTCAATAATTACAATCCAGTCGATCAGTTTTACGTGCTAATTGCTTCCTGATTCCTGAACCATCAACTCTTGAGACTTTGACTAACGAATCCTTCGATCTATGTTCCAGTTCCGTAGATTTCGCCTTCGCCTTTCCGCTGTGTGGAAACTGCCAGGTGGATGCTGCCACCCAATGACGATAGTCAATTGCGGTCTGACAGTCTGCTGCTCCGTACTTAGGTACGTATCCATGGATGGATGTAAGGTACGTAAGATAGGAAGCTTTGTTTCTATTCTCAATCACTTGTTTTCGAAGCACGGACAGACTGACATTGACTTGCGGCGCCGCGGCTGATGTACGATGAAACCCGCAGAGCACACACCATCAATGTGACGCAGAAAATCAATCACCTATCTTCTGGCAAACGGAGGAAGCTCTCATGCGTCATATGAACCCTTACAATCGGCGTTCGTTCAGATTTCACATGAAAATAATGAATTTACTAATACTCCGCACTGTGACTACTGTCCAACTCAAAAAAAGTCCAGACTCGATAAATCCAACCCGTTGGAAACATCCTAACGAGGAACCATTCCTGCTAGGGATAAGTCCGTCGTTGTGGTTTATTTGACGGTTTGACCTTGCAGGCTTCCCGACCTTCCGCGCGGACCAGACATCCAGGACGAACAAATCAGGATGGCTGAGTCAATGAAGGTGGATCAAACAACCCCCGTAGGTTGGCGAGCTGCGTGCCGGCCCCAGTGTGCTGGGTTCCGCCAGCATCCTAGCGCGTCGTTGTCCTTTTGTCCGTTCAGGTACCGCCGAGTCGTCGACCTCGTACGTATGTACCTAATTCCTAGGACTCATAACAGCCTAAGACACTACTAGCGTAAGGACGTACTTCCTGCCTCACGCGGCCACGCCTTTCGAGTCCAGGCCCACAATTGGACATCTCCTCTTTTTCCAGTCAACCGAAGTGAGCAGTCAGTTCAATTGCTCGAAATTTCGCCGTGCCGTTGTCTTGCATGATGCGTCAAGCGATCAATCTTGGATTTTGCGTGCGACACGCTGCATTAGGCACGAATCCGGATGTTTCTGAGATTAATTTTCCTCAATTAGCATTACATAGTGCTGCGCGCTGAGACAAGTGTAAAGAACGGCTCCGCAGTTCGATTCCTGCGTACTACTGGTAGGTCGCTGAGTACTGCGTACCTGTCTCAAACCGCCGTATGAGCAGCACTTCGAAATGGTACATTTTCAGTAGTAATACTATTCTGCCTATCGAGTCGGCGGGCGGATGATTGAACACTGGCATCATATTTTATTCCGTACGGAGTACACGAGTCGAATACCGAAAAAATGGCCAACATCGGGCATTTGACCCCCGAGACTGCAGCACCGTTGGATGTCATAGGCCCATAAACTGTAATGCCAAACGTTTATCTTTCATCTTTTGCTGTCGATCACTCTCGACGATCGAGGGATCAACTTCAGCTGATGTCAGTGGCCATGAAAGGAAATCTTTCGGCCCCCATGTTCAGTCAAGCTGCAGGAGACGTTCCGAAACCCAGAGTCCGAAGTTTGAGACTCCTACCGCGACCTTTTGGATTGATCTCATTTCAACCGACAAAGCATTCCAATCCTGCGCAGACACTCCTGTCTGGAGGTCGCTGAAATATTATCCTAGAACGCTCATCGAGACGCAGACGCTCGTGCCAAAGACGACGGGATTTGTGAAGCCTATGTCCTCTTTAGTTTACTGATAACAGCATGCTAACTAAGTTAACTTATGCTCTGCTAGTGACTCAGCAAGTCTGGCATCTCCAGCTTGTCGGACTCGGCCCCTGGACCCCGCTCCAACCGGTTTCTTGGGATCTTAGTCCGTGCCGAAACGGGCATGACGGGACAGCCTTTTATGGTTCTAGTGCGTCTGCCTTGAACGATTAGTTTATCAGGGTTTCAGCCGAAAGTTGAGTTTAGGCAAAGGAGTCGGATATGAGGCAAAGCAGATACATCACGAGTTCAGTATACTTTACAACGTATCAAGGGTGTATCTCAAGTTGAAGATTCATTGTCAGGAAGTAGGTACACAGATCTGACTTTGCGTCTCACTCTAACATTTCTATAATGGTGAATAAGTAATGTCTAAGCAGTCAACAGAGACATAACTGTTCATCATCTATGGATGATTATTTAATGGCCACTTGCTACAGCCATTCCGTCTATATCCAAGTCAAATCTTACTGACATTTGACATTTGGCATTTGACATGCACTAAGCTATGGATGATAAAAGAAAGCTTGCATTATGCTTCAGCTTAGACTGAAGTGAACATCTATCCTTATTGCCGTTGCCCAGCTTTATGACGTCTAGCTAGGCAGTAAATAAATTTTGATGTCTTTCTCCTATATTGTTTGTTTCCCTTTCCATCTTTTCATTCCTCGCCTTCATCTCTTGGTCCTCTCTCGTTTCATGCCCTTGATAGATTTACCTAGTCACCCGCTCACAGGGTGGATGACATCAAGCCCTCTTGGAACGGACACCGGCAATTTTGTGGTTTCGAGGTCCGTCAGCCAGGCTACCTGTCACAGTCCTGCACAGGGTGATGGGGTGCTCTCATGAGGAACAGCTATCACCTTGAAGATGGACTCACACCCGTTCTCTTCAGAACATTGAACCGATTAAGTTGGACCGTGCATCTTAACCATAAATAACTTGATACCACGCCAAGCAGCATGCTGGTCCAAGTGGAGCAATTATGGTTTCACAGGCACTGATCTTCAGGACTTGGTCCTTTGGGCACCAGACCAGGAAGAATGGTGTCAGCTGTGACACATTCATGCTTTGCGTCTTCAAGACCACAAGACTGTTTCAGAAAAGCACAAATGGGCCGAAGGTCTTTAAGGAGTGTCAGCGACACTGAGTAGACCCTATTGACCGAGCTGTAGCGCCTCATGAG